CATGTAAATTGGTGTAAAATTGAATTTTCGACCGCACCGTAAATTATTATTTTCGCTCGGTTTCGAACAATTATTCATTGCTTCATATCAGTAAATTCATTGTTTTAAATATATCATAGAGCTCTAATTCCATTCTCTATAAATTCCTCGAGTTTCCTGGGGTTGCCGATGTAAATTTCCTTTCGATACAGTCGACATTCCATTGCGAATTTTTTGTTTTTGTTTCAGTTAATTGAAGAATCCGAACGCCCTCATGAATGTCACCTGAAGAATTACGACGGGTTCTTCTGCGAGCATTATAGTAAGTGTCAATAAATCATTCAAAACGCTCACTAAAGTTATCGAACGCGAAAATATCGCAAAAACCATAAGGGAGAATTTATTTCGCCGCGAAACGTTATTCGAATAGTCCGGAGGATGATGAGAATTGCGTTTTAGTTAGTGCAGTTTAAGGGAAATTTGAGTTCTTTCCTGTCGTTAACCTTTAGACGAATATCTCGAATGTATATTAATATTAGTTCTCACTATTCTAGCATTGTTTCCTGTGTTTTAGTTATGCAAATAGTACTCTCGACAATGCTGAAAACATCATATATAGTGAGCTAGTACAAAAGTAATTCAACGCCGAAACAAACAAAAGATTTTTTAGGATGTTGAACTATCAACTCGACCATTGTATTTTATCACTTTTATTGTATATGTCATTATTATGAAACGGCCCCGAAGAATTCGCCCGTTCTAGGAGCAATTTTCCTGCGAGTCGTAAAAGACGCGACTTTACTGCCCATCGAGGGACCAGTGGCGTATCACCCGCTACGAAATTCATAAAATATTATACAAAACATCCAAACGGAATTATTCTTATTTAAAGATTTAAAGAAAAAACTTATACGTTCGCTTGAAATCCGAGTGGTGAGTCATAAAAAATAAATAACTCTCTCGACACCTGCTGAAATATGAAATCTTGTTCTCGACATAATCCATTTTTCCAATCGAAATCGAAAGTCAACCGCCTACGCGTGAATTATGTTTTATCGAACTCGACTTTTATTTCAATGCGATATGAGAACCGAAAACAAATAAATGGAAAATGCAACTCTGTATTTTTTTAGCTTGCAACATTGGGGGAGAGTTGGGCAAAAATTAATCAAATTTACCCCTATTTTTATTAATTAATTCAAAGAACTTTCAAAACGCATTGAATATAAACTCCACAGTTGAAATAAAAATACAATCGTTTAATTGTACGAAAAAAAAATTAATATCTAATAATTACACCGAATCAATCGCGTTTATATCGCGACGATATCGCCAAGAAGCGAAGAATTAGCCGGTACAAAACGATCCAAACATACAATACATTTTCCAGCTCGAGCGTTTCGAAAAATGGAAGTCGTTTCCGAGCACCTCTGGCGATTTTTTTCTTTCTGTTTATCGCTATGGCAAACAATGCAACATCGTGCATCGGTCTCTCACGAACAGACAGGCAATGACCGCCCGTCGGGGGCGAGAGGGGTACCGGGGGGGGCGGGAGGGGTCGTCGTAAATATTTCCAAGTGTCAAATCATATCTCGGAGGTAGCCATGATATAAGGTTTACGTACGTAAACGTAACGTTAACGTACGATGCGGGGGGTTGTACGAATGTCCGATTTACGAATGTATTGCATATGTTTGTATGCAGATAAGGAATTCTTCTATTTTTTTTTCTTTGCTATACATTACTTTTACATGTGTTGTGTAAGGTAGACTGGGGCAAATGTAAAAATGGGATAAATGTAATATTTTTAATGTTTATTTTTATTATGTTAATGTTTGTATTATTTTTATAGTTCTTTTGTGCATTAGACGGGGTTTGTTTCTTTTTTTTTTTAATTATTTTGTAGCTGTGTTTTTTGTATTTTTTTGTAATTTTAGATATATTTTTTTACGATTTTAAAAGCTTTTCAAAGGGTTCTTCCTAATGGTTATTTTTTAATACATTTTTAACGAATTTAAGAGAGATTGAAAAATAATTTTTAATGGATTTTTTTCATGTTTTAGATGAGGTTTTAGTTTCATGTTTTATGCACTATTTTGTAACTACAGTAAGGTAGACTGGGGCAAATGTAAAAATTGGGTAAATGTAATATTTTTACCTATTATGTTAATGTTTTTATTATTTTTATAGTTCTTTTGTGCATTAGACGGGGTTTGTTTCTTATTTTTTCTTTATTATTTTGTAGCTCTGTTATTTTTTGAAATAAATAAATAAACAGCATATCAAATTTTAGAGGAACCAAATATTTTTTTACAATTGTCCCATATGTTTTTCTATATAATTGTATTGCACTTTAGAACCCCATGGTAGGGGGTAAATGTAACATATTGTCAACATTTTAAAAAATATGTAAAATCGTTTTCTTCCTTTTTCAAAAAAATCTTTTTAACACCTCAATTCTTTAGTTTAGGAAGTTGTGAATTTAATGTATCAGCATTTCTAATAAGAGAAAAAATAAAGCCACATTTTAGGATTTAATTTAAACTATTCAAATTTTACAACCGATTTGCCCCAGTCTACCTTACGTTAAATTGCTTGTATGGATTTGTTTCGTTCGAGTATATAAGGTTATTTCTCGCGAATTTTCCTAAAATCGTGTATAAGGTATTCGAAGAATGCAGCTAATGAGATTATGGAGCAATCGCATGGCAAACACAATTCGTTATCAACTATTTTAATCGCTTATTATTATTGTCTATCCAAGGATTTCTCGTCTATTGTTTTGTATTATTTGTAATACTTTTTGAACAGTGTTTAGATATCGCTCGATTGTTGAATCGGTGAAAAACAATCATTAATTTATACAGCTTTTATATCGTATTACATAAATGTTAGACAATTCAATTATCTTCTACATCGAAGGTGATAAAATTCATTAAGATTCATTAGATGTCATATTGATAGAGGACGTTAAAATTATCAACAAATAAATCGCGAATTCGCAAAAGAAAATTTCGGTGTACACTTTTAACGGTACTTTCTTATAACAAGCGACATATTTGAATAATAAACAGCCTTTTAATGTCACCCGTACTACCTAATATATCTTACAATAAGCGTCACAAATTCCGTGTCTTGTAACGAGCTATTTATTATCGCAATTAAATCAATTAACCACGAAAACGTACGACAATTAAACTAACAAAAAACCGAGGCATTCGCGAAGAAAGTTAACTAAACACACGACCTGTCTCTTGTCACGAAACAGTCATTTTCTCACCAAAAAAATCCGCCGTTACGAAATTAGAAATAACGTTCTATTAAGGTATACGCTAATAAATCCGGCGCTCGATATACCGTTTATCTAACGCCTGCCTTCTACTCTACTATTCTACAGGCGTAGGTATATAAAATGCAATCCAGGAAGCTGCGAATATAATCGATTAAAAGGTCGTTTTGTTTTACCTCATTAGCCGGCTCTTATTAAATTAACATCATATAAATTAGTAACCTCGATCTAACAGATCGATTCCCATTAGGTAAATAGTAACACAACGTTTCCAATTAACGTTTTAAACATCGCCGTTTCAATTTACTCTTACTTCTCTAATCCTATTGCCCTGTAAACTTGCGCGAATGGCGAAGATTAAAATTAAAACCGAGAGTGAAGTTAGCGTGAAATTAAGCGCAAATTGGTCCTCCTGTTGGGCGACCAAACTGAAAGTAAACGGGGAAGAAGAGTATACATGTGTAATGAAGGGGAATATTTTTTTTAATGCGCTATTAAGGTTCATATCCGTATCAACGGGAAACGGATGAACCGGTTATTAACGCATTTGTCGCTATTTAAATTAAATTCGTATCTGCGTATCAAACTATCAACTATTACGTGAACATGATTAGGTCACAAGACATCGATGGTAATTAATTCGTGATTGTAAATGTTTAATTCTAAATTTGAGAGAGATATTGCTGGCTGGTTTCCTGTATTGTTCGAGGCAGCTAATCCGAAGTTACTTAAATAGTTAGAAGATTTGTCGTGCTTGAAACCACAGCTTTTTTTCTGTTCAACTCACGAATAGGGAATGACTATTTTGAGTTGCCTATATTTCAGGTACTCTCTACTCTCTCTACAGGTGATAAAAAGTCTCATCAATTCGGCCATATCACAATTAAATTAGTTCTGCGGTTGAGTGTTATACATTTTTTTAAGACTATTTAGTTACTAGGTCATCTCATCTATTTTCGCAGAGAAATAACAATAAAAAAACAACGTTCTTTACAACAATTCGTCTAGGTACAATTCGAATAAATCGACAGGAAAAAAGAAGAATTCCTCTTAGGACGAAGCAACTATTGGCTTTGAGCAAACGAAACGAGCCGATAACAATTCGTTTCGCTCGGTTTTCTCGCCTGGGTCGTTCTAAAATGATATACAGGTGTAACAGGATCGTTTCCTAATCTAATCGCAAAGGAGATAAAAGGCGGAGATAAAAAATAGGTACCTACAAAGTTGAAGTTTCAGCAGTAAGCCGGCGATTGTGGTACAGAAATTTCTCTGTCGGTGTCATGTGGATATTATTACTGCGGATTAAAAAATATATCGAAACCGCCGATTCAGTGATATGTGATATTTCTTTGAAACCGTCTCTTCAATTTAATTATTTGCAATTTTTTTCGGCTACTAACTGGACTAAAAAATACTGAAATCAAGTTTGTGTTGTTTCGTCCGGTAAATGTCTTACAGAAGAGGATAAAACAGATTTTTTTGTAAGGTTAACACATTAGATGATGTTAAAAAAAGCCCGTTTAATTCGGGATTAATCAAGATTGTGTGAAAAGATTAAGATTCCGAGATTATCTGGTGTTTGTGTTGTGTTTTGTGTTTCACATGCTTTTATGGTTTATTAAAAGTTAAAAAGGTTGATTAGTGTTTGGGTAGTGATTGACTCTTCAATTTTGATAGACTATACTCAATTTTGGTATTTTTATTTATTAAAACCAATAATAATTTCTACGAAATGTTAAAATTTATTAAACGAAGGCTCGATGAGAAAGACGATTGGTCATCAGCGGCATCTAGCGCAACTTCGAGTACCACGTAGGTATTTTGCCCCTAACAAAGTCCCTAATAATATCGCCAATTTAATAAAAAATTTCATCACTTTATGTTATTACTTCAGTTTTCTTATTTTCCTGCGAGGATTTTCATCAATTTATTGTACTTTCGAATGACGCACGATAGTTGTTTGCAGAGGATTTATATTGTATTGTTATTGTATCGCAATTGTTGCGATATCTGGCGATTAGACAAATTAAAATAATCTGCAGAGTAGCTAAAAAAATTACATTTACCATTACAGGTATTAGACGATAAGACCTTATTAATCCACTAATATTTAACGTTTGTTAATTCAATTTCAACAGTCCTACAATTCAAGATAACGATCGTTTTATGTCATTTTAACAGCCAATTAAACAGTTTAATAGCCTAAAAAATAAATACCTAATGCTATTGTCTGTGCACGTTCCATTAATATTGATTATTGAATTAGATATAGTGTAAACAAAATGTTACAAATATTTTTTTCGACAATGTTTAGGTTTCATGCAGGTATTTTGCTTCGAATCTGCCTCTAATTTGGGTCGAACTCGTAAATAAAAACAATGTTTTGTTGCAGATGTGAGGAACTAGCGTTTCTGATGGAGGAGGAGGACGAGAGAGGCCCCGAAGAGGGCCACCTCTTGGTCAGGATCTTCGTGCCCGAGTTGAACGTCCAAAAATGCCTCCAATTTCCCAGGGACCAACTCGTTTGGGACGTCAAGCAACAATGTTTGGCCGCCCTGCCAAAGGTAAACCAATTTTTTATAGTATTTCTATATGTTATTATCGTTTAGCCAATATTTATTTACTGGGAGTTATCGAGGGACGTAACTAGATTAACTTAGTGGATTATATTGATAAAAGTAGATGGATACACTCCTTTTGTAATGTAGTTACTTACATCATCTTTATTATTATTATTATAGTGGATTTTTTTTTGTATAAAGCGAAACTTATGATTTGATAGGTTTGAAACATTTAAACAAGGAAATTATTATTGTAGTTTTCGGAATTATGTTTATTGTATAACAATTACGTTGTTTTGTTGTTGTATTTTTTAATTTCTTCGAAATATTCGCTAGTGTGGCGAGGAAAAAACTCTTTACATCGAACAGTTGTTAATTTGTTTAGTGACGAATTGGTATTTGTAGTTGTTGCATTGAAATTAATTAGTTAATTTCACCAGGTAAATATTAATTAATTAAATAACCCTTCGTTTATTAAAATTATAAATGTCCAGTTATGATGTATCTCTGGATATATTCGATATATGAAGCGAAAAAAACTGTTATATTGATTCGAAATTGCTCTTAAAAATAATCTAATGTTAATCAGTAACGAGAAAATCCTATTAATTCTCCGCCACTCCCACGCAAACGAAATTTTAGTAGCCGAACAAAAAAACTACATCAACCGTAATTAATTCGAAATGGCCGATTAGCGAGTCAGATTCGCCGAATTTTTGATTTATTAAAACGAGTTCTTCAGATACAAAGAGATCCCAATGGAGCAGTGATAAATAACGAATTTTTTTAAATGATTGTAAATATTTAAAATGTTCGATAAAATTATTCAAATGAGGCATGTGCTTGCATGTCGATCGGTTTCGTTTGCAGGCAGATATTTACAACAAACGTGAATTGAATAAGTTTAAATCGCAATGCAGGAAGTTTGTTTGTTTTGCGTAGAACGTGATACAAGTTAAATTTAATTGTTTGAAATGTTTTATTTGAATACCTGTAAATACATTGAGATAGGTTGTTTGCAACTCTTACGAATACTTGAAATTTGCAACAAATCTTCATATGAAAGAAAAATAGTGTTAATTTTATTACAAAAGCTTTAAGTTTTATAATAAATTCCCATTAAACATTTCCGCATAAAATTAAGATAACAAGAGTTTAACAGCTACATTGACAAATTAATTTAACTATTATTATATCGAAACCTTCCATTCAGATTTATTATCGTACGGAATAAATGCATATGCAATGCATTTGTTAAATACGAGTTTACGACACACGCATTTGAATTTAAATAACGAAAAAAATATTACGCTAACTTAAAGTTAAGAACCATATGGTAAATATTACCGTTTATTGCGAATTAATAACCTAAACGTTTTATACAAAGCGGAAGAGTATTTCAGCTGTGATGTTTTAAAAACTTGTATTTTCTAAACCTTTTTAAGCGTCGAAACTTCCAGGAAATGATAAAGAAACTTTTTGCCGACGATAATAATTTAAACGCAAAAAGTTACGAGACAAGACGAAGCTAAACTCACTTCCCAGGGATTCGCTTGTATACTAAAAAAAATAGGCAGTTTGTGCATTAAAACAAGAAATTTTACTCTGCTGCTATCCGTGAAACGAATTTCGTTTTTAGTTGTTAACAGTAAGCGGGTGAATTTGATAATAATTTTGTCTTTGTTTCATTTTGTGGTGGTGCATTACACGCACGTACACGTAGGTGGCCAATTGGTACAGGGTAGGTACACGATTGCACGCTTAACATGCATGAACTAGTTTCCTATAATTATAATTTAGTATCATCCCTTTTAATCGCATGTTTATGTAACCCAAATCTCTATACATTATACTCGAAAGATTGGCGATTTCCATTAGAGGATATTAGGATATATGCTTTATAGAATATTGATTGAACTATACTGCTCCACAAAAGTTAAGGAAGTTCGCTAATATTGAGATTAATTCTAAAGATTTGGTCACCAAATTTTCTTTTATTCAAAATTAAATGTTTTCTCTCATATCTAAGTGGAACTCGTACTAAATTTAGCGATCAAAAAACCTGCAATTTTTAAATTAATCTCAATATTTGCCAAATTTTTGTGGAGCAGTTTATTTTCAGTATAAGTGATCTATTAATTAAATCATTCGAATGAAATTGAATAATATCCCATCGAATTATGTTAATTATTTTAATGTACGATATCAATATCAATGGTTGTTATAATCAATAAAATTTACATGAATTTATTTAAATAAAATATCCAATCGAACAATATAATCGATCTTGCGATAACCAGTTGCGGCGTTTTTAAATTAACGAAACATGTAGAGCACCTTCGCAGATTCGATTCTCTCGTTTATTATTTTTTCCTTCCTCGACCATCGCGAATGACATCGACGAATTTCCATAATGACATCGGATCCCGAGGAATTATAATCGTCGAATTGTATTAATTCGTTTCCTCCTAAAAAGGAGAGAATCTGGTTCAAGTGATAGTTCAACGACCATCTTCAACAGAGTAGGAGGATTTTTACTCGCCTTTTTTTCGTTATATTTTAAACGAGCTCAATTTTTAAGCGAGATTTTATCTCGTCGTGGAATAGCTTCGATTTATATAGCGTTTGAGTGACTACATTTTTCACAAAATGTTAGTTTTAATTTATTAAATCACTTATATCATCGAAGGAACTCGTACATTGTTAAACTTAAACCGCCCGAGGGCTTAACCAGCTCATTATGTAACCATTCTAATAACATCGGAGTTAATTAAAAGCTCCTATGCGAGGTACGAGGTCGCGTCAAGGTCAATCAATCACTTATAATCCATCCGATGGAATATTATCCCATCATTTAGAATCGATACTCTATTGAGCAAAAAAAAATCTATTCATTCTAAAAAACTAATTCAATACATACATCGGAGGGAATTCGACAAATACGCGTGTTATAATGGCCGATTATCTCGCTATTCATCTCGCGAAGAGCCGATGAACTTTAACTTTAACATTATTCGAAAGTTGCAAGCTAATGTTCCTCGAAATAGGGCGGGGTTTTTGAATATGATGAATAGAAAAACAATGGTCGAATTTATTGTTCTTGTAAAAGTCTCTGTAAATTTTTCTGGTGTCTAATTTCTATTAGTTTCTACGAAAATTTAAAAAGCTTTTGTAGCTTGAATTGAAGCACAAAGCTGTATAAAACCTCAAATACTACGATTCATCTAATGCAGAATAGAACCCAGGAAGATATGAATTGATATACTGAGTCTTGTACTAAATGATTTAAAGTAGCCAGTTTGTTGTAGAAAACAGAAGTGTTTATAATAAAATCGAGAACAACCGCAAGTTGAGCTTATAAAAAACACCTACGCGCACGTTTTAGCAATATCATTAATAAGAGAACAATAAACTTGTCATAACACGCTTAATTTGTTGTTTTTCGAAACGAAACCGCTTTAATATCGTTTTCTGTAAAACCCCGTGGGTTTCGAATGGAATGATAAATTCTTTTTGCGAAACGATAGATACCCGAAGGCTATTAAACGTCTCGGATATATGACAAAACAGGTGTCGAGGAAAAGCCATAAATTTCTATTCAACCTTCGAGGATTTCGATTTAAATTAAAGCAAGGTCGGACTTCCTAGGTTTAATGGGTTCCAGCGATTTTGTTGTTTGGATTTTTTTCATATTCGCCGAGAAAGTGGTGTAATAAAACGAACCAGATTCGACGTCCCACGGCTTCCTTTTGCTACTACCTCGTCGGCGGAGGTTTCGATTGTTGCGAATCGAATTAAAAAAAATAATTATTTCATTTTTTTTACGAGTGGGTTTGGTAATAAATCGGCTCGATTTTCTCGATATAAGTCGTGGTTGTTTTTCGAACCGAAACTACCTTCATTTCCTCTTCCAAGAAGCTCAAATTTCCGCGAACTTTCTTCACTATATCTCCTCTAAAACTCCAACCGCTGGCGCAAAAGGATCCCGCCCGGGCGACTTCTTTTCGCTTAACTTTTTTCATCAACTTCCAAGTTAACTCCCGCTCGAGGATTATGTTTAATTATTATTGGAAAACTTCTCGAGCGGCGTTAATTAAGTCAACTAATTTTAAGCTCTCGAGGAATTAAATCCCTCGTCCGAAAAAAAAAAATGGAAAATTATGGGTTAAATTAGCTTAATTATTTTTCCACCCTTAAGTGATTGTTGATTAGTTCTGATAGCACGGTGTAAACGTTGCAGTTTTTTTTTTCATTCGTTATGCATGTTGCAATCGTGTTCATATATGCTTTTCATTCATTACATTTGCATCAACAGGAAGCATAGTAAGATTGCTTTCATTGGATTCTTTTCTGAGTGGTTTAATGAGTGAGAGGATTCATTAACAGCACGCGATAATCATTTGGCACATTCACATCAAATTCACCACCTCTGTACGTTTATTCTCTCTACATTTATCACGATGTAAACTCTGCGTTTTTAAAGCAAATATTTGTTAATTTGGTACGATTGTTTGGTGGAATGTTTGCTTTTAAAAAACAGAGCTTTATTCGTACTAATTCATATTTTAATTGTAGCTTTACGGGTTGTTGTTGGAAAATTATCTTGTATCAAAAAAATTTATTAGGTAGATATATTAACGAAAATATGTTTTTTTTTTCATTAACAGCCTACGTGATTGCGAAATTAGATCACATCAATCATATATTGGAAATTTGAATGAACTCTTATTGCGAGTTATTTAATATATTACAAAAATATCCTAATCTCGAAATTTATCTAAAAATCTTCTACTGTTTTATAGAGTACCCAGGCTTTCAGGAGTATTATACATTTATCAATTTTCAATTGAACATTTCTAATTTCGATTATATTGTCAAATTTGATTAGTCATTACAAAATAACAGGAAAAAACTAATTTTGTATAATCAATTACCGTAATTTCAATATTTGGTAGGATTTATTTCGTTGATATTACTGTATTACAGATGACCTTGTTTCGTTCGGAAATTAATTTCAAATTGTCGTTCCGCCTATTCCGCGATTTTACCATATAGATAACGATTTATTTTACGTTCTATAATTTTTTTTAGGAACTAAAAGAGAGCTTTAACTATGGCTTGTTCTGTCCCCCGGATAACGGCCGGGCCGGAAAATTCCTGGACGAGGAACGAAGATTAGGAGACTATCCTTTCAACGGCCCCGTGGGATATTTAGAGGTAAAATCGGGGAAAAAAATGAGCTAATAAAGAATTAATTGAGTTTTCTTTTAGTTGAAATACAAACGGAGGGTGTACAAGATGATGTCTCTCGATGAAAAGCAGATAAAAAGCCTTCACACCCGGGCGAATCTCAAGCGATTTTTGGACTACGTTCAGAACGGTCAAGTGGAAAAAATTACGAAAATTTGTTCTAAAGGCCTAGATCCCAATTTTCACTGTCAAGAAACGGGCGGTAAGTAGATATATCAATTCGTTTTTTGTATTCAAAGATAATAAATTTTGAACATATTCTCGAGCTCAATCGAGAGCACAAATGCTGGCTTAGGTGTATGCATAATTTATACTTTTTTTAAAACCAATTATATACAGTTAAATATAGCAAAATCAATAAAAGGATTCCGCTAGGGAATATTTTGTTAAGTATATTATTCATTATGTTCCAAAAATTGGGATATCCAATATCCAATTAATCGATGATATTTTATAACGAATTTGCTAGTCTCATTTTCATGCAGTATAAACATTTATTTTGTGAAAATATATTGGAAAATACACTAAACCTATGGCTTTATAATTGGTAGATATTATTAGAATTAATTATTCAAAACAATTTATCTGTCGTCTATTCAAAATATTTTCGAATAAGTTTCTTATCAACTCTAGATGTCTCCAAAACATCAAGTGGGTGTACGATTGTCTCGTAATAACAATCGAGAGATTGCAATAACTTTGAATTTGACAAATAAATGTCAAATCCAAGAAACCATAGCAACAATTAATTGGCACATTTTATAGCACGTTCAGAATTAATTTTTAAATGTACCAATATGCCCGGGGGTTAAAACTAAATTGATCTTCACGTGAATACGCTTTATTAAAATGTTTTTAAATTTGGGGGTTGACTTAAGAATGAAATTACCTTTAAAACGAGGTGTCACTTAACCCCCTTTCCATAAGAAAAACAAGATTCAAAATGGCGCCTAACTGTCATTTTGAAAGTTTCAACTGTCATTTTTACGTCAAAAAATAGTAATTTTACTCCAATATAAACCCCCCAAATTTCGCTACAAAACCTCTTACCATTCAAAAGTTAAAAGGACTTTCGGTCCTCACTGCAGAAAATTCATGTAACATTTGATTCCAGAAACCCCTCTAACCATCGCCACGGGCATCAAAAAACCCGCCAAAACGTTAATGGCCCTAGTCAACGGCGGCGCGCTGCTCGATTTCCGAAAAAAAGACGGCTCCACCGCCCTCCATCGAGCCGTCGACCATCGAAGCCTCGAAGCCTTGAAAACCCTCCTCGAACTCGGCGCCTCGCCCAACTACAAAGACAACAAAGGCCTCACGCCCGTCTACTACACCGTCTCCCCACACGTCGACCCCTCTTTCGCCGAGACCCTCCTGCACGACCACGCCACCACCGGCGCCCAGGACGCCCAGGGATGGCAGGAGGTCCACCAGGTGAGCCGCCATTTACCTCCCATTACCTCCCAAACCAAGCAATTGTGAATGGTTGCAGGCCTGCAGGGCCGGTCTGCTCGCCCACCTGGAGCACCTGCTCTTCTACGGGGCCGACATGAACGCCAGGAACGCTTCGGGGAACACCCCGTTGCACGTTTGCGCCGTCAACGGGCAGGAATCCTGCGCCAGGCAGTTGCTCTTCAGAGGGGCCGATCGACAGGCCTTGAACTACGCCAATCAAACGCCCTGCCAGGTGGCTGTTATCGCTCACAATATGGATTTGGCCGAGATGATACAGAATTATCGGCAAGAGGATGTCGGTAAGTTGTCGGTTTGGCTTATTTGGATGTCTGTTTGGCTTTGAAATGCACGATTTGATTGTTTTGTTATACTTGATTTAGTTTCCATAGGAAAATATAACGATAGTTTTATCTCTGTTGTAAACTTGAAGCTATTTTTGATTGAATTTTAAATAGATATTCAAATATAAAAAAACATCATAGCAGATAACTTTCAATGAGAAAAACTCAATCTATAATAATATTATCGTTATAAGCGTTATATTTTGTATCTAAAATTCCAAGCACGTTTTCCAATTCCATTGTATCTCATTATTCATTGCATGTTAAAGTTAATTTTTCTTTTAAATAAATCATCTTAAACCTCCCAGTCGATATTAGCCATAATATAGAGATGTTACTAGTTGTTGTTGAATAGAAACCAACCTGTTTGGAGTAAATTTAGAGCCGGCAAACGTGTGAGTAAACTCAAACAAAACGGAAGTTTCGATCACGCGCGATAAAATAAACGAGACTGGATTTATTTATCACCTCTACAGCTCAATTGCAAACCATCATTCTCGAACACCCGATCGGGATAGATCCAGTCCGATTATTTGGCGCGAGCCAGTCGAGTTCGAGGTTTTGAGTTGCCGGTCCATCGTCAATTAAACCTGGTTACTTTCAGTCCCTTTTCGCGGCCCGCCTAGCTATAACCCGAAGCGCAGATCGGCCTTGGGATGGCTCAACAGGGCGCCGTCCATGAGCACCCTTGCCCTACCTCCAAGTCCTTGTCCCAGTGACAGATCCTCAGCACCTTTCAGCTCGGCCAGTTCGAGCCTGTCCGAGGGGAGCGCCCTGCCCGGCCACGAGACGGACACCGCCAGCATCGTTACTGGTAATGTACTATTTATCCATTTTTTTTTTGTTTTGGTTGGATTTTTTTTACGATTAAATTTCGTCGTTTGTTGCTTCATCAGCAGGTTCGAAACCGGCGTGTTCGGAGGTTTGATTTTATAAAGAATCCAACTTTGGAGTATTTCTTAAGATGCAATAATAAACGATATTTTTGAAGAGAAATTATTTAATCTGTTGAGATGTATTTTAAATTTCGTCGTTTGTTGCTTCATCAGCAGACTCGAAACCGGCGTATTCGGAGGTTTAATTTTATAAAGAATCCAACTTCTTAAGATGCAATAATATTAATAGTATTGTTTTTGATGAGAATTTCTTTAATTTGTTTTGGAAGTATTGCATCTTTGGAACACCAACAACGGCATGTGCATAAGTTGAATGTGTCTCCGTGTATGTTAATAAACTTAACACGAGCATCGCTCTAATTCAGGAATGGCTCATTTAGAACGACTTTTTTGTGTATCCCCTTTCTCTTTAGATGTTTTATATATTTTTTAAGTCGAAATTTCATCGTTAGAATCATCATTACACATCAGAAACAATTAGAGTCGTTGTACCTTTTTTTTGTTTTGGGATGTAATAGGGAGAAAAAATTAATAGGTAGAAAGTGAACAAACAGGCTTCCTCGAGAGATTATGATTATAGAGAGACGAGGCGACGAAGCTCTAAGAAATAACGAAATGAAACGGGATTATTAATAACACGTCATGCTTTGTTGAGGAGAGGAAGAACCTTTACAATAAGTGTTTTTTTTTTTTTTTGAAAAGAAAGCTATCTGAAAATCTTTACGGCGTTCCATTGGAAGCAGATCATCAATTAGGATAAGAAAACATATCCAATTTGACGCTACTTTTAGATAGATTCCCGCAAGAAATAACGAATTGAATCGAACACCATAATATCCTAACGTTACCTACCCACAACATTGTTTAGTTTATTCTTTTATATACAACTCATTAACAACAGAAGAAATTAACGAATATTTGTACTAGTTTACTAACTACTTATCTAATAATATGTACTCCTCATACAAACATCACCCCGTTAAATACCGACATACCAATTGGTTTAAAACCGATCCCTTTCGCGACCTAGTTCCTTTACCATTGATACGCCATAACTCAGTGTTCGCACTGGGCGTTACAGACAAGAGCCTCGGCGACGCCAGCGACATCATCAGCGACAGCTCGGGCGTCGGGACGGCCAATTCGGACACCACCAATTGCACCGTTTGGATGCCGGGCAGCACCGTCGTCTGCATCGAATCCCACTCGACCAAAGAGGACGGCCACATCAGCATCAGAGAGGGCGACATACTCGAAGGTAAGTCGAATGAATCGTCGAGCGGTGATTCCGATTTTATCGCAATCGCCGGCTGAATCATCGCTGAATCAGCGAATCGCTCAGCGCCCGGGAATTCCGCCGGTATCTCTAACGATGTCGTTGGTTGTTTCTCGACAGTCGTAGCCGCCACCGACGACGGGTACCTGGAGGGCAAACCGAAGACCGGCGGCGGTCGCACCGGCTACTTTCCCGCCGCCTGCGTCCAAGAGGTCCGCCTGCGGGCGCACAACATCCAAGCACCGATGATGGTGGCCAAAGATCGACCGCCCAGCCAAAGCGCCAACCGCGTGCTCGGCCGAAGGGAGAGCAACACCTCCAAGCACTTCGCCACCGCTCCGAGGACCACCAAACGAACGTAAGTACCGCTAAACATCTCCCTACAACATCACCGAAGATAGTTCCTTACTCCACGAACAATCCCCGAGCTTTGATGCCCGAAATCCTCCAAGAAACTCTGTGAAGTTATCATGCGAAGGTGTATCTTGGTGGCTCGACTGGTTCTGGTTGCTTTTCAGGTACTCCAACCTGCCGGCGGAGCCGCGAACCGTCGTCCTGCACAAGGGCAAAAAGGGCTTCGGGTTCATCCTGCGCGGCGCCAAGGCGACGTCGCCGCTGATGGACCTGACGCCGTCGGACAAGTGCCCGGCGCTGCAGTACCTCGACGACGTCGATCCGGGCGGCGTGGCCGACATGTCGGGCCTGCGGAAGGGCGACTTCCTGCTGGAGATCAACGACGAGGACGTGTCGTCGGCGTCGCACGAGCACGTCGTGGATGTGATCAGGAAATCCGGCGATCTGGTGAGTGGCTTGGAAAATCCGCTTGGAAACATTTATTGTGTTGCTTCGAAATTGGTGTGTGGTAGGTGAAGATGACGGTGATGTCGTTGGGTCCTCCTGTGTGCGGGGTGATACCGATGAGCAAATCGACGATACTACAAGGTGGAACCAGCGCTATTCCGTTGAGCAGGCAATTCGCGACTCTGCCGAGGAAAACGATGAGTTACGGCGGTGCTGGAAGGCCGATGCAAGCTCCATTACCGCCTAGAAGGGATCCGAAGACCACGCTCAGCGTCGGCAGAGCCAGAGCGAAGAGCATGGTCGCTGGTTTAGGTAAATCCACAACAACCACCACAATTACATTTTACTTAATGGTTCAACAAAAAAAACCAGGAGGAGAAAAAGACGAGACTGACGACATGACGAAATCGAGCTCGGCCGAGTCGATACACCAGACGACGCCGGGCGGTACGCGCGTCTCGACGCCGGTGCAACCGCGGACGGCGTCCATAAGGCAGCGACCGTCATCGGCCAGTCTGAAGCACACCGTGCTGGAGGAGCTGTTCCAGAAGCAAAGGGAAAGCGACGCGCAGAACTCGCTGATGAGCAGCTCTCGGTTCCAGAGCTCCAACGCCTCCGGCTCGCCGAGCAAGGGGAGAGTCTACGCGAGCGTGGCCGAAATGAAGCGAAGCAAAACCAAAGTGAGCTAAATTAATGAATAATTTTTCCCGTCGACTAAATTTTCTACTTGTAGAGTCCAAAAACGAAATTCGCCGAGCTCTTCTCCGGCGGTAGGGAATTGAAACGGACGTTCCACAGCACGCCGGATCTGGTCCAGGAGATGGCCTACGGGTCGCAAACGCTGCCGAGCAAATTCCACCGCAGCCAAGAGGATATATCCTCGCTGTTGGGCGGAAGGAGTTTACCGCCCCCCACGCACCCGCCGCCTCCCATACCGCCTCACATCCAGCTGGTGAAGGTCGACGTGTCCAGGAACCAGCGGTCCGAGTACGACGCTTTAAATAGAGATAGTACCGATGAAGGTATGTGGTAGAAGAAACTAATAAATGTGCTAAGATGAAACTAATAAATTGATGAATCTTTTGTAGGTGTTGTATCATCATTCAATCCTACAGCGAATGCGAAACTGTACGCTTCGCCCGAAGACATGCGATCTGTGGGTTACAGATCGAAGAGCGCCCCATCGCATAAAGGTCAATTGAAGAAATCGCAAAGCCTAAGAAGCAACAACAGCCTCAAAACCACCACCAACAGTGTTTCGAACGAACAACAAACCAATCCTTACGCGCAGCCCATTCGTGCATCGAGATCCAACTCCACAGGTGACATAAAATCCCTTCTATTCCATCGCGATTTGCTCAATTTCAATTCGTAGGATCGAGAGAACGAAGGAAAAAGTCAGCTTCGAACAAACCCATCGGTAAAACAGCCCAGCCCGGCGGTCCTCCCATCCCCGAGCCGGATTACAGTTGCACCGATTCCGACGGAGAAACCGACGAAGTCCAGCGGAAGACGAGCGAAACTCTGGCAGGTCGATTGAACAACGTCCAATTGCAAGCGGCCGAAAACAGCGGAAACAGCAACGCAAGGTAAACCAACAAAAAATCCTTCGATTGTCCAATCGATGTCTGTTTATAACATCTTCATCAGCGACGTCGAAAACCAAAATCGCTCGCGACGATTACAAATAGATGGAGAATCCGAATGTTGTTCTAAACCAACAAAAATCCTTCGATTGTCCAATCGATGTCTGTTTATAACATCTTCATCAGCAACGTCGAATACCAAAATCGCTCGCGACGATTATAAATAGATTGGGAATGCGAATGTTGTTCTAAACCAACAAAAATCCTTCGATTGTCCAATCGATGTCGGTTTATAACATCTTCATCAGCGACGTCGAAAACCAAAATCGCTCGCGACGATTATAAATAGATTGGGAATACGAATATTGTTCTAAACCAACAAAAATCCTTCGATTGTCCAATCGACATCTGTTTATAACATCTTCATCAGCGACGTCAAAAAACCAAAATCGCTCGCGACGATTACAAATAGATGAAGAATCCGAATGTTGTTCTAAACCAACAAAAATCCTTCGATTGTCCAATCGACATCTGTTTATAACATCTTCATCAGCGACGTCGAAAACCAAAATCGCTCGCGACGATTACAAATAGATTGGGAATCCGAATGTTGTTCTAAACCAACAATAATCCTTCGATTGTCCAATCGATGTCTGTTTATAACATCTTCATCAGCGACGTCGAAAACCAAAATCGCTCGCGACGATTATAAATAGATTGGGAATCCGAATGTTGTTCTAAACCAACAAAAATCCTTCGATTGTCCAATCGATGTCGGTTTATAACATCTTCATCAGCGACGTCGAAAACCAAAATCGCTCGCGACGATTACAAATAGATGGAGAATCCGAATGTTGTTCTAAACCAACAAAAATCCTTCGATTGTCCAATCGATGTCGGTTTATAACATCTTCATCAGCGACGTCGAAAACCAAAATCCCTCGCTACAAATAGCTCGTTCGAATCGACAAAATTCCGATTCAGAATTGGACTGAGGTTGTTCTGTTGCAGCGGCAGCTCGTCGGCCAGCAGCGGTTCCCTGCCGCGCAGCTTCAGCGTCGACGAGATCCAGAAGGGCCGGTCGCTGCTCAAATCGTCCAAGTCCTATCCGGACGAGTTGCTGAAGCGGCGCGCCGCCAAGGAGGCGGAGGCGGCGCTCGAGGACGGCGACAACAGCTCGTCGGGCGTCAGCTCCGACCAGGAGATCACCGGCGGCAACCCCGACGCCCCAGAGCCCGCCTCCGTCAAGCCCCATCGGCCGCCGATCGGTAAGGTTTTTTTAATAATTTTTACACTCACATTATTGCAGGAAATGGCTTGTTGCATGCAAGAATGGTTTGTTGCAGGCGGTTTGAAGCGACACGCGGTGTCTTTGGCGCAGCTGCCGCCGCCCATCGAGAGCGAGGACGAGTTCTGTCTGCCGCCGCCGCCGGAGTTCGTCGAGGCGAACGCGAATTTCAGCGAGGTGGTGGTGGCGCCGCCGCCGCAGTTCAGCGACGGGCGCCAGGTGGCGCGCGTGCGCATCGTGGGGGCGGTGCCCAAGGGCTCGCTGGCGAAGCTGAAGCAGAACCGGCTGCACAGCCAATAGATTTTTTCTACGGTTTGATACTCGAATTTTTGATATTCGGCGTGGCGGAATGAAGGGGTTGCTGTGATAGGATTTGTTCGTGAAGGGTGAAAGAGCTGCTTGAGGTAGAAATCGATTGGTTTTTTTCGATCCCATCGGAGTCCTGCTGGTTAGGTAAATGCAATTAATCGATTTATGAAGTAGAGAAATGGAGAAATGGAGAAGCAGGTTTAGTTGATCTTGGGGTAAAAATGTCGCTGAATGGTAGTGGTGATTTTCGTCTATTAACGCTTCAAACTCGGTATTTTTCGGGAACTGGAAGACTGGACTGGATTTCGATTGGAAAGTATGAATTTACTCACATTAACTGCTCATTAACTACAATTTTTTTAAAGCGAATATAAAGTGGTTTATTTCTTTTCTTTCGTTGTAGAAAGTGTTTTATGTTTTTTTTAGAAACGCACGAATTTCCAAAATCTTTTTGCAATTATCTGAATAAACGTGCTAACAAAAGCAAGGGGGTAAATAAAGGGAGGATTTTTTTTTCCAAATAGATAGTTGCAAATAATCATATTCGTATTATATAAACTTTGTATTCATAAAAATAATTCCGTCATATTTGAATTATATTCATCCTGCCAAATATAATTATTACGTATGATAAACGATATTTTTGGAGTATAATTGAGATATTTCCTATATAATTGTTGTTGGTTAAATGTGATTTCGTGAATTAATGATTCTCTCGGAGCGCCGGTGAGATAATTTTGCTGAATACCACTTGATAATTCGTTTAAAAAACACAGAATTAAATCCAATTAAACCAGCGAAATTATCTCGATCCGAACTCCGAGTATTCTAAAAGACAACCCTGCATATATTTTTCCTTACGTTCGAACATTTTGTATACTTTTAAGGTTGTGTTAGTTGTTCATTTGTACGATATTACGCTCAAATATTGCCTATCCATCGATTAAAAAATAATAAATATTAGATTAAACGAATGTAAATACATCGCTGGGGGTGCAGTCGCTGCGCGAAACGTCCCCGCAGGATAAATAAAATAAAAAAAAACATCCTCGGGAGAATGTAAAATGTAAAATTTGCGCGGCAACTGCGCGATATTTCCGTCGAAGCTGGCCCGAACCAGGTCCGATGGAAAATCGCTAGAAGAGGTTGATAGAATTTTTTATGTATATATATTTTGCCTATTTATTTCACATTTGTTAGCTTTTAAGTCTGCACATATTTTTATCGGTATACACTAGTTGTTGATACAGAATCTCAATAAAAAAAACGTCTTTTTATTAATAAATACTGTTTTAAGTTCTTCGTGGATTTTTCTATCATCTCACAACTACCTAAAATTCTCCGCGTAAAGTTATTTAAACTCTAAACAATAAAATAAATGACTGTTTGCAAATAGTGAAATAGATATCAAGTGGGAGTTTATTTATTTATCATCAACCGTTGATAAATCACTCCCAGTGGCGCACCAACAAAAAATACAGCTCTACATTAAACACCAACTAATCTAATTTCTATTTTATATTCGGTAAGTAGCAATTTTACAACTAATTATTATGTATCTTTAATACTTCCACTACACATTCAACCGGCCTTGAACCGGCGATTTTTACACGAAAATTCGAAAATTAAAAATTCGAGCTACGCCCCAGTTTGTTTCTAATCTAATCTGTTTACATTCTGATGAACCAGCCATCGTTTTTCGAACGCACTGCGTGTATTGTATCATCTCATCATCAGCCTTCGATGGTGATCCGATAACAGAACTGGAACTGGATCGAACATGGAAAGCGCCACTGGCAAGCCTCCTGCCAGGTTTACCTGTTATTTTTGCAACGAAACCATCCAGAACGAAACCGAAATGGTGAGTAGATTAGTAGATTTATTTTTTCATTTTCTAGGCGAATTACAATGTGTAATATATTGTGTTTTGTAACAAAACGCCGCTCTTATCAGCTATACTTGTTTAGTTTAGATTAGATTAACTTAGGTTAGTTTGGGTCGGTTTTCCAGGCCTAGCAGGTGCTTGGAATTTGCTCTGTTTGATATTCAAAAATCGCATTTCGAATGTAAATAGCTAGGACTACTTCCGAGTTATGAATTAGCTAATTCAAGATGTTTCTGATGATAATTTCAGGGCCATACAGCCACCTGCAGTCGAGTGCTCGTCCCGTGTCCGAATAACTGCGGAGTCTTCATTCCGAGAATCGACTTGAAAAGGCACACCAAAAACTGCATAAACAAAGTCGTCAAATCCTCTCAAATACCGACGAAATCCCAATACACCGACACCATCACCAGCAAGACCATCCACTCCAATATCCAAGACACGAACGATCGATTTCCAGGCAACAACGGCGCCTCCAGAACCTACCTCAAAGACGAATTAACCAAGCTCTCCAGGAAAATCGCCGAGATAGAAACGCGACTGCAATTCCACCAGAAACAAACCCAACAATCCGCTTCGCAGTACGACCTCCAAACGCTCAAAGTCGACCAACTCCAGCTCAGATCCGATTCGGAGAAACTGCGGTACCAATTCCAAGGCATCCAGAACTGGAAAACGACCATCGACGGCGTGCTAGCGCAGCTGAACAGGAGCCTCGCGATGGCCGAGCAATCCCAGCAATCCACCATCGACGGTTTGAGCGCCCTGCAGGGCAGGCTTTCGATCGTGGACCGGCTGCAGGAGGAGCTCGGCCTGCAGCGGGACAGCTTCAGGCGCGAGCAGGCCTACAACAGGCAGGTCGAGATGAACGCCTGGGAGGCCGTGGAGGATCTGAAGAAGCAATTCGCGCAGGAGACTGCGAAGAATCTGGCGATTCTCGCCGATTTGAAAGACGGCGTTGCTGGCGTGAAGCTGGGATTGGAGGAGGCTTCGGTGAAATTGGAGGACCACGGGATTAGGTTTACTAATGTGAACTTTGATTTGCGTGGTGTTAGCAAAATGGCGGGAGATTGTGGTGAGAAAATACGCGGGATGGAAGAGGAGCTTCTGGTTGCTAAGAAGGATTTGGATCAGATGAAATTGGACGTGGAAATCCTCGAGGGATTGGCCAGTTCCGCTGATATGAGGTCTACTCCTGGTAGTTTGATGTGGAAGATAGGAGAAGTGGATAGTTGTATGACTAAAGCAAAAGAAACTGGGATTGTCCTTAAAAGTCCAGTGTTTTATACTCACGAATATGGATACAAAATTAGGGTGAGGAATTAGCTAAAGGCGTTTGTTGGTGTGTAGATAATTTTGTATTATAGGTTTTGTTGTATTTGAATGGATTAAATAAATGGAAAGACAGGTACGCCCTTTTATCGCTGCATGTGATAAAGGGAGAGTACGATTTACTATTGAAATGGCCCTGTCATATAGAAGGTACTATAACTTTGAAGGACCTCAACGATGTGGACTCGGTAAGTACCTAAATAAGGGGCTGAAAAATATGTAATTTTGTTATTTTAGACAAAGTTGTTTACGAAAACTATAACAGCGAAGCGAAAAATGGGTGATGAAGAGTGCGAGGATCCTCAAGAATCGTCTTCTTGCTACATTTTCATACCTCATACTACTTTGTTTAAAGGGAAATTCATTAAAAATGACACGATGTTCATCGACGTTAAAATCCGACAAATTCAGAAATTGGAAACCAGTTTTTAATTCATCGAATTCGCTCTATTTCGAATGCACTAATGTAAATATGTATTTATTTATAACAAATAATAAAAGCAAAGAGAAGGGACACAACAAATAAATTATTAAATTGTTTATTCATACTTTACAATCATTTACAAACTGATTCAAAACCAGTAAATTATTTCAGTCGTTTGCACGTTGCGTCGGTACAAAAAAAATAATAGGTTAACGAATTATTTTACTGCGATATTACAACTAAGAGATAACTAATTACAAATATTTTGTACAAAAATGAATAGCTCGGTGTTCAGACATTAAGATTTTGTTTTTTTTTATGTACAGAACGGTCGCGGTTACTAAAATTTATACAATTTATAAACAACGTGGAAAATCTTAATGGCTGAACTGGATGTGGAATTTTACAAAGAAATAGAAACTGTTAGTAAAATGTATGGCTAAGAATGGCGGGCTACCTATGTGAGCATTTTTCATGCAGTATGAGAAATTCTGGTTTCGCTCAAAGTACTGGTAAGAGTTCAAAAAGGTTTTCTTTCTATTTTATTAGCAGGATGTTTGTGAAGTGTGGACGAAAGAAGAATTTTTCTTACTGCATTTTCACAGATTTTTTCTTAAAATATCGGTTTTATATACAAGAAAAACATACATGTAGTATTAAAAAATTGCAATGTAAAAGAAATTTTTGTAAATCGATAATATTTTCGAAAAAAAATAATAAAATTTTCAAATACGTTCGTCTATTTTACATGAGGTATTTTCCATATAACGTCTACGCGGTATTCACAGAATACATTAAATTTCTTATCAAAATATTTCTCTAAAAGATTTATAAAAAACAAAATACAAAAAAAACTTAAATCGAAAAATATCACATTTTTGATTCATTTTTAACGATGCGTTTTCAATATTTGCATCGAACTTTGATTGCCGAACAATTAAGTAAATAAAATTATAAACAAAATTATTATTATAAAAGATTGCTAATGGTCCTTTCAATTTTTAATTAACCCATGAAAGAATAACAACGATTAAAAACTCAAAGAAGAAAATCTAGTTTTAGTTTTACGCTCCGTAAATTGGTTTAATATTAAATAAAACATCTAATGAGATGAGATAATAGGCCTGGAAAAGACCTAGAAATACATTGAAAAAAATACTTAAACCCAGTCAAACTTAAACAGAGTAAAATACAAAACACTTTTAGATACAACGAATTCTTTCATAAATCAATCAAAAAAAACTACACTCAAAAAAAGTCTCTTCTTCATACCCTACACACACGCAACACAGCCTAATTGCATTACAATACAAACCTCAAATACTCAACTCAGCATCGACCATCGACTTACCCCTCGCCGCCGCCTGCCGCCCAATCACGTGATGCACCACCGGCAACCCCGCCGCCCCCGCACCCGATTTCGTCGCCAGCGGCGACAAACTCGCCGCGAAACTCGGCGACATCGCCGCCCCCCCGCCCCCACCCTCGTGGCTAATCGGCGACCGCGGCGCCACCAACACCGCCCTTCCCCTCCCAGCCGCCGGCGCCGGCGCCGCCTTCTTGCTCTTGGCGCTCGACGCCCCGCTGGCGCCGCTGTGCACCGACGCCGTGTCGTCCTTCAACCTCGCTATCTCCGAAAAGACATGCGCTAGAGGTTGGTACTGCGGGCCCCAATCCAGCAGATAGTCCCAGTTGTAGCTACCAGCTAGTTCCTCTTCGCTGTGCACGATGGAGCTCAACGAGCCGTTCATCGATGGTTGATGAGTAGCGGTTTGGACTTCCCCGTAATTGTTCATCATGTGTGCCCCAGTAGGTACATCCCCGGCTCGATCACCACCACCCACATCGTTCAATTTGGCGTATATCAAAGCTGCGATGTCGTTGTCATTGCTTTCTTCGTTGAACATACCCAAAGGCGCCGGTTGATTGGCGCGGTCGGCGCCTATCCTCGCCCCGTTGCGGATGGTATTGTTGATACCCAACCGCGCCAAGTACTCCTGAGTATTCCTAACAGATGTATTCGATAAACTATCATCGTCGTTGGTTCGAAGCTGCATCGGTCCTTCGTTGATCATGCGGATCTCCTCGTCGTCGCCGTCGTCCTCGGCGGATCCGCGACCGCTCGAGCCGGATTGCTCGGAGCCGGACAGTTCGGAGGTGGTGGCGGCGCCGGAATTCGAGCTGGCCGGGTGCGGCGCGCCGTACGGCGGTATCTCGTCGTACTTGGGCGGCGCGAATTGGCCCGCGGCGGCGGCGGCGGCGCCGGCGACGCCGCGGATCGGCAGGGCGTCGAAGGCGGTCGCGTCGACGAAGTTGTTGGCGGTCGATACGGCGTCGGCGGCGCCCAGGTTGGGTTTGGTCGATTGCTTGTTGCGTTTGTTGCGCATGTGCAAGAAAACGAAGGCGGCGCCGAAGGCGATTATCAGTAACAGAAGAGCTATGAGGAGACCCAGAGCCCAGTCTGCTATGCCGCTGGTTGTGGCCGGAATTGCATCGCCTCTGTTAATCGCCAAATTAGTACCAGGATCAGCTAGAGGATCCAAGATAATCTCCACTACAGTCATATTGGTTAACGATCCTTGTCGACCTGAACTAGCCGTTATCACCAAACTAATCTCCCTACCGTTATTCGGTATTTCTACATAATCAAACTTCTTCTTAACAAGTATATCACCGGTGGTTCTGTTAACTTTAAAGTAAGAATGTTGCGTCATTAACTGATACACAACTCTACCATCAGGTCCCTTATCTCTATCGGTAGCGGTTACGTGACCAACGATATAACCGACCGGTAGAGCTGATGAGGTAGCTAAAGTCAGTTTGTAGGTCCTTTCGGTGAACTGCGGATGGAACTCGTCCTTACCCTCGATATCAACGCGAACTTTCACCGAAGTAAACTTCCCACCGGCATCTTCCGCTTTTACAACGAAGTTATAGCGACTCCGCTGCTCGTAATCGAAGGCCGTAGAAGTGGTAACCAAACCGGTGGTGGAATCGACGTTGAACAGCTTCCAGGAGTTGTCCAATTGAGCGTACGACGGTAGAATGGAGTAAGTTAATCGTCCGAAGCGACCTCTATCGGCGTCCGAAGCGCGCGCTGTGAACACCACCGTTCCTACTGCTTCGTTTTCCCCGACGAATTCGAAGTACTCCGAGACCGGGAACATCGGTTCGTTGTCGTTCTCGTCTTGCAGGCTCACCGCGATCGTTTGTAGAGCGCACAAGCTGGGCGAGCCTTCGTCGCAGGCTTTCACCACCAGGTTGTAGTCGACGGCGCCTCGATCGAAATCCAGCGACTTGTTGACAGTGAGAAGTCCGGTGTGAGAATCCAGCGCGAAGCAACCTTCGTCGTTGCCGGAGGTGATGCTGTAGAGGATTCGTGAGTTGGGCGATTGAGGTAAATCCGCATCGATTGCTAACAAAGCCTCCACGGAGGCTCCGATCGGCAGGTTTTCGCTGATGGTGGTGGCGTGGTCGGTCGATTGGAACATCGGCGGGTTGTCGTTGGAGTCTTCGACGGTTATTTCGACGGTTACCAGCGACATCGAAGAGGCGTCTGCGGTTATTTTGAGGTTGTAAGTATCGCGGGTTTCCCTGTCGAGCGGTTTCACCAGCACGAGGGCGCCCGATGGGTTGATCGCCTCGAAGTTGCCGTCGTCGTTGCCGTCTACTATTCGGTAATAGGTGGATGATATCGATGGTGGTTTGGTTAGATGCATTATGGTGGAGCCTCTGGTGGTGTTTTCTTGCACGCTAATCCTGGAGAATAATAGAAGTTAGCTTGTTGGAGGTTTGTAAATGCGAAACTTACTTGTACTCCGTTTTGCCGAGAGTTTTCGAGCCGGTAGAAGAGGCGTCTCCGTTGGTTCTGATTCTAATCGGTACGATGGAGTGTTGCGGGGGATTTCCCATGTCTGTAGCTTTGATGGTTAGTAAAATTTCGTCTGTATAGCGTGAAGTTGCTGATAAATTAGCTTTGAGGATTCCTTCATCAGCATCGATCGAAAATCCAGCTAAAGAGGATACCAAGGAGTATTGCAATTTGGCGTTTTCTTCCGAATCCGCGTCGCTGGCGTTTAAATACGCTATGTCTATTAACGTCGGAGAATTTCCTTCTGAGAAGAAATTGTATGTAAAATACGAATTAGAAATAATGAAATCGTACAAACCTGGTAAAGTGGCGAAGTACGAAGATTGCGAAAACGACGGAGCATTATCGTTAACATCTATAACTTTGATAGTTAAAGAAGTTTGAGCCGAATGGACTCCATCGGAAGCGACGATGCCGATTTTGCACTCCTGCCACGTCTCGTAGTCCAAACTTTTCTTCAAAATCACCTTCCCGCTGTACCTATCGATACTAAAATACTGCAAATCTTTCTTGTAGTTATCTTTAGCAAAACCGTAGGTTAAAGGAGGATAAGTATCCACATCGTTAGCAGTAGCAATCGTCAATACAGTACCAACGGGAGTATCTTCTTTCACAGTAATAACGCTGTGAGGCGGGAAAGTCGGTTGATTATCATTGACATCGACTACATTGATTCGAATCCTCGCCGTGCCGGTCATCTGCGGTACACCTTCATCGGTAGCAATCACAGTCAACCTGTAGGCATCCCTGATTTCCCTATCCAGCACAATGTTGGTCTTCAAAATCCCACTAAAAGCCGGCTCGATTTTGAAAGCGTTATCGTGATTACCATCAACGATGTGGTAGAGTATCCTCGAATTGGCGCCTTCGTCAGCATCACCAGCAACCACCTGCAGCACGAACTCACCTTTCTTGTTACCCTCCCATACACTAGCCGCATATTGTCGCTGCGTGAACTTCGGAGAATTATCGTTTTCGTCGGTTAGTTGCACGATTACATCGCAGTACCCGCGCAAATCGGGTTGTCCTTCAGTCCTCGCCTCCACCACCAAGGCGAGGTTCCGGTGGAGCTCGAAGTCCAAGCCGTCTGGATCGCGTACTTGGATAATACCGGTGGTGGAGTCGATGATGAAGACGCCGGCATCATCGCCGGCGCCGATGGAGTAGGCGACGCGCTGGCGGCGGCCGTCGCTGCGCACCGCCCCCACCCTGACAACCTCCTTGAGCCTCTCGGTGTTCTCCGCTAAAGTAACAGCGTAAGTAGCGTTCTGGAAGAGCAGACTGGGGGAGGTCTCCGGCAGGTCACCCACTTGGATCTCCACCAAACCCGAGGAGCTCATCGGCGGGTTGCCTTTGTCTGTTGCCAGCACGTTTAAGTAGATGATTTTGCCTTTGTGGGCGGCTAGAGATTGGGTGGTGGTGATGATTCCGGTGTTGGGGTTGATGCGGAATTTGCCGTTGGAATCGTCCGTGGAGATGGTGTAGACGATTTCGGCGTTGGTGGCTTCGTCGTCGTCTGTCGCTGTGATTTTGATGATCTGTTGGCCGGGTTGGATGTAAGGGGTTACTTTTTCTTTGAAAGGGTAGCGGGTGAATGTCGGTTTGTTGTCGTTGAAATCGAGTATTTTAACCGTTACCGGAACGCTTTGGCTCCTGGCGTTGTATTTACCACCGTCCGTGGCTACTATCAGAAACGTGTAAACGTTTTCTTTTTCCCTATCGAACGAGCTGGAAGAAATTGTAATAGTAACGAATTGTATAAATTAGTGATACAAAATGTACTCACCCAGTGGTTGTGATGACTCCTGTTTTGTTATCGACTCGAAACAACCAGTGGCTTTCGTTGGACAGCGAGTAAATAATCCTGGCGTTTATTCCTAAATCAGCATCGGAGGCGTGAACTTTCAACACCGATGTATCAACCGGCACGTTTTCCAAAATAGCGGTGGAATATTCGGACAAATCGAACTTAGGATCGTTATCGTTTTGATCCTCTACAGTCACCGTCAAATTACAAACGCTCTGCATGGCTGGAGTCCCTCGATCTTTCGCTACTATCGTCAGGAAATACTTGGACTGGCTTTCTCTGTCCAACGGTCGAGCTGTCAACTCCCCCGTCTTCGTATCGATGCTGAATTTATTCCCCGCATTCCCGCTGGTGATGGTGTAGTACACCTCACCGTTGGACCCTTCGTCCCCGTCTTCGGCCACCATCGTGTGCACCACGGACGTTTCGGAGTTCTCCGGCACGGACAATCGATAGCAGGAGCCTGTTCGAAACTTCGGAACGTTATCGTTGATATCCGTTACTTTGATGATTAAGGTGGTGGTGTCGAATAAAGTGGTTTTGTAGGAAGAATCGCTGACGAAGACGGTCAGAACGTAAGTGTCGATTGCTTCGCGATCCAGGCGTTTCTTCGCTAAGACTTCTCCGGTTGGTGAGTTTATGCGGAACGTCTCGTCGGATGGTAAGATGAAGGTGAGATTATTTGCTGCAAACGAAACGATTAAAACGTTGATGTCTACAGTTTTTGTAATTTTACACCAACCTTCTGTTAGTCCAGATCGAGCCGACAACTTGGTGATGACTGTATCGACAGCAACATCTTCAGCTACCTCAACAACATACTGAACCTCCAGAAACTTAGGCGCAGCATCCACGAAACTTTGCACGATCAACTTCAACTCCATAGCGGTCGTCTTCGAAGGGTTCCCGTGATCGCTCGCCGTGACGTTCAAAACGAACGACTTCCCGTTATCCTCCAACGGCTTCGTCAACGTCAAACTCCCGGTATCGTACCCCAGCGAGAACAATCCCTCGTCGTTGCCTCCGGACATCGCGTAGGTCACTCTACCGTTATCGCCTCTATCCTCATCCACCGCGATAAGATGAGCTACAGTCGATCCCAGAGCAGTGGAATCGCTGGTGTACACCGGACCAGCAGGAGCGACGAACCTCGGAGCGTTGTCGTTGTAATCGTCGACCAGCAGCCGCAGCGTCGCCGAGGCGCTCAGCCGCTCCGACGCGTTCTGGCATTGATCAGTCGCCAGGACCACCAGAAGGTACTCCTTGGTGGCTTCGAAGTCCAATTTGGACGCTAAATTCAGCGCCCCCGTGAGCGAATCCACCGAGAAGGCGTCGCTCTGTGGATGCTGCTCCAGCAGGGAATACCTCAAGTCGCTGTTGCTGCCAGAATCGGCGTCGGTGGCGGTGAGATTGTAGATGGAGGCGCCGATTTCGGCGTTCTCGCTCACGCTGATGGTGATGGGGTCTCGAGGCCATTTCGGAGGGTTGTCGTTGACGTCTGTCACTTCGATTTTGACGGTGATGGCGCTGCTCTGGGGGTTGTTCATCGCGCTGGTGTCCAGAGCTCTGATCTCCAGCTTGTAATCCGCCTGCGTTTCTCTATCTAATCGCCTGGACACCACCAAGGAGCCGGTGCTTCGGTCCACGTCGAAGGCGTCGCTCAATTTATCCGCCGATAGAGACGTTAGAGTGTAGGTTACGTGACCTCCGGCTCCGTTGATGGAATTTTCGTGTACAGGTTCCGGCAGAGCTATGGAACCCACTACATGTCCGATCGCGGCGTCTTCTCTAACTCTAAACGCGAGGCTGGAACTGGTGAAGGTGGGTCGGTTGTCGTTCAAATCCAGCACTTCGATTCGAAGGATTCGCACGGTTTGTTTGGGCGGCTGGCCTCCGTCTTTGGCGGCCACGGCCAGGCGATAGATGGTTTTCTCCTCGTGGTCCAGCACGGATTTGGTTTTGATGGCGCCGGTGATGGGATCGATGGCGAACGCGCCGTACCCGTCGTAGTCTCTGTCTTTGAGAATTGAGTAGGTGACGGTGGCGTTTGAGCCGCTGTCGGCGTCGACGGCTCTAATTCGGACGACCTCCGTGCCGGGCGGTTGCTCCTCTCTCACGCTGATCACGTCCTCTTGCGGATCGACGATTTCCGGGGCGTTGTCGTTGACGTCTAGTACTCGAATGAGAACTGGTACTCGGGTACTTCTTGGTGGGGTGCCTTGGTCGCGGGCTTCTACTACTAGTTCGTGGGTGCGTTTGCGCTCCCTGTCCAAGGGTTCCCGGCTGGTTATTTCGCCTGTGAGAGACAACGAGGTTTGAGTGATTTTTTTTTTGGAGAGGTTTGCTGGTTGCAAAATGCCTTGTGGGAGCGACAATGGAGATGCCAAAACTGCAGTCGAAAATATGAAAAAGTTGTTCCTTTGGTAAAGAGGTTTAAAATTGACCAATCCCAGTAGGAATTCAAATCCATGAAAATGAGCTATACACCAATTTGACATTATTGAAAGATTCTATTTCCTTTACACTTTCAAGGTTAACAAAAGCTGCCAAAATCAGCTGTAATTATTGATCAAAGATTTGCTTTAAAATCGATCGAAAAATGGATCATTCGATTTGAACTACTTTTGAAGCAATAAAAAAAATCTGTAGGTTTGATATCAGCAAAACGAAGCTCCTGAATGATCGATTTGGAAGCAAATCTTTGATCAATAGCCACAGCTGATGTTTGGCAGCTTTTGTTAACCTTGAAAGTGAAAAGGAAATAGAATCTTTCAATAATGTCAAATTGGTGTATAGCTCATTTTCATGGATTTGAATTCCTACTGGGATTGGTCGATTTTGAACCTCTTTATTTACCAAAAGAAACATTTTTTCCTCCCTTCGACTGCAGTTTTGGCATCTCCATTGTCGTTTCCATAAGACATTTCCCGGTGGGGCGTGAGTTCTGGGCCACCCTGTATAATTTGTAAAAATGCAACGATCGTGTTTAAAAACCGCATTAAAAAAAATAAAACAATATTATGTTGCCTTTTAATTAACGATTTATCGAGTTTTTACAAACGCATTTAAATTTGTGCTTTATATAGTTTTTTTTTTTATTTATTTATTCGCATAAATATCGCTTGCAGAGCATGTAACTGGAGACAGACCGCAAATATTCCTCGGTTTTTGCCACACTTGATTAATCTCGACACCTTTACAAGGACTGAATTCATTAGCGAGCCTACAGCACGACTTCAATTCGACATTTTTTAGCTAATAATAGTCGTATTATTGGAAAACCATCGCTAAATTGCATCGCTCATTGTTTGTATCCTCTAACCAACAGTTTCATCTGCAGTAAAATGCAACAACAGGGAGAGGCATAAACCGGAGTATTTTCTGTGTCGTGGAATCGTAACGGAATGTAAAAAGTTAAAAAGAAACTAGACAGCACGTGGAATCGAAATAAATCGGATTTAAATAACCGAAATCAGAGCGCAGTTTAACTCGAAATAAGCGAAATGTATCGCGAAATCCGGTAGAAAAGAAAATCACAAACCGGCATTTTCCTCGTCGTAAATCATATTTAGAGCATCGACCGCGGGCTCGGGGATTATCTTCGTGAAATGCGCGCGGTAATCGCATTACAAAGCCCATGAATCAATCCCGCTTGTGCCACTTCCAAAGCGTTCGAGCGGTATTTATGGCTCAATTCCGACAATAATGAGCATTTTCAACGGGTTTTAGAGCAGACCAAACTGCTCACAGCGATATATCCGAATATGTAGTTCCTCGTAGCGGCAATGTAATAGCCAAAAAAAAAAACCATCCAACTTAGAAATACAAGGAAATCCGAAATTGACATGTAACTTTACAGCTACACAATTCACTATTTCCAATAACAATTCGTCTAATAAACAACGAATTATTTTCGCGCGAATATCACGCACGTTTATTCATCGACAGATCGGTCATCCAATCAATATGAATAACTCGTAGTCTCGGAGAAGTTGTCGAGCAAATATTTTATCTGCCGGCTCGGAGGTTCTATTAAATAAACGAATGTTTTTACAAGGCGACAATTAGCGGACACACCGGAGGAAGGCGACCGGTACGTGCATGATCTAGTTGCACACGAACCGGCCTAGTACCTAGTACCTGTAATAGTACCGCGGTCGTGAGGCCTGGTCCAAACCGGTCCGTATACTAACGACGCTTTTTACCTATATATAACCGATGAATGGACGCTTTAATTAATACCCGAGGAGATGAGGTTTGAACCCCTGTACCTGCGTTGGAAATTCGTCAAAAAGTTTCGAGTAAGAAGAAGAGTTTAAACGGATTAAAACGATGTAGAAAGCAAGCAAATAATCGTTTATTTTACTGACCTATACCATGTGTCCGAGATCGAGCACTACATTCATCGACACAGTTCGATTGATTCTCTCTTTCTACTGTTTGCAGCGCTCGAATTTGGACAAATGGTATACAAGAATTACGAAGACGAAGAAGCCCGGCGATTACTCGATGAAGAGATGGTTGAAAAAACTCTCACCGATTAGAAAAATGACGACGGAAACGCGGATTGTTTGATCGGTAAACCGCTCCATCGGGTTTGTGTATTGGAGAAAAAAATTTTAGAGTGTTTGCATTTCATTTAACCGACATGCCTTGAAATCGAGATGTTCCCCGCAAACGAGAGTTTACTCGACCGACGAATAACACGGATTTACTATTAGCCAAAAAGGCAAAAAATCGCCTCTCAGGTAAAAAAGTATCCAGTCAAATATTTGATCGGGATAGTGCATCGACGCTTTTAATTGAGCACTTAAAACGTCGAAAGAGAGCGCCTATTAAAACCAAATAATCCTACGTGTACACTCTAAAACCAAACAGTAAATTATTGGTAGTAAATTCGGCGCAAAATCCGCTCTTCTAAGGCATTTCAAAGGCCCAGAAATTCGTTAGATATAGAGATAATTCTACGATTGCAAACGACCAGTCGCAAAAGGACTGTAAAAACACTTTGGGAAAATCACCCGAACATCACCTGCGCTCCGGATTCCATTCTTGTACAGAACCGAAAGGCAATTAATCCGGCGATATTGAAGTGTTGCCGGCCAATCGACCGTGAAACGCTCGTAAATAAGAATTCGCCCAGAAATCGCAATAATATCCATGCGAAGCTATCATAAATTAGAATCGCGTTTCGAGTCCTCAACCAGCCTAGAAACTCAATTTCGCGACTCAATTTCTACGACCGAGATGCTATAGAACCTCGCGAATCTGGATTAGATGATTGAATATGATAAAATCGTTAATAAAACCACTAAAAATAATACCTAAATAATGGAGAACAACTCCAGAAAATCGAGTACTTGTCAAGACATCAACTCACCAGTAACAGGATTGATTGCGAAGCTGCTATTCCCCGGTATCAAGCTGTACCTCAACGCAGCGTTCTGGCCCAAATCAGCATCACTAGCCCCAACCCCACCGATGAAAGTTCCTCTTCTCAGGTTCTCCTCGATCGCAAATTCGTAGGAATCGCCGGCGAAGACGGGATCGTTGTCGTTGGCGTCGAGCACCTGGACCAGCACCAGGGCGGTGGCGGTGGCCGATGGGACGCCGTTGTCGGAGGCGGCGACCGTGAGGCGGTAGCGGTCGCGGCGCTCGCGGTCGAGCGGCGCCCGCAGGTACAGCCAGCCGGTGGCGGGGAAGACGCCGAAGGCGGCGTCCGGGGCGTCGGTGGCGTTGGCGGCGATGAGGCGGTAGGTGAGGCGGGCGTTGTTGCCGCTGTCCGCGTCGATGGCGGTCAGTTGGAGGAGCTGGAAAACGGGGTGAATAATGGGTGAAAGTTGCCTCTCGAGATCTACCAAGTTTCGTTTGAATATGTCGAGTGGTTGATTCAGGGAAATAGAAGAAACTTTAGCAGGAAAATGGGGGGTTTTTTGTACTTGTGTAGGTTCGAGGAACTTGAGGGGGTGGTTCTGCATGAAAAAATAATGATTTTAATTAACGCGGTCAGTTGGAGGATCTGGAAAATGGGGTGAATAATGGGTAAAAGTTGCCTCTCGAGACATAGCAAGTTTCGTTTGAATATCTCGAGTGGTTGATTCGGAGAAATAGAAGAAACTTTAACAGGAAAATGGAGGGGTTTTTTGTACTAGTGTAGGTTCGAGTTGGTGGGTTGTTATTTACAGGGTGTTTATTGATAAGTGCGAGGAACTTCAGGGGGTGGTTCTGTATAAAAAAATAATGATTTTAATTAACGCGATCAATTGGAGGATCTGGAAAATGGGGTAAAAAATGGGTAAAAGTTACCTCTCGAAACCCACAATATCTCGTCACTGGTTTATTCAGAGAAATAAATAAATCTTCGGTTTTTTTAAGAAGAAACTTTAACACACTATATCTCGAAAACGAAGCATTTGCGAACATATCTTTATAAAACAAAATATTAATATTTTTTCATGCAGAATCACCCCCTGAAGTTTGTCGCAATTATTAATTAACACCCTGTATATGATCGAGTGTGGTGAGAATTAGAATCGCTGGTGATTAAATGGAGATGGAGCGACAATTATTTTTTAACGATCCGTAACAAAACCGAAAGTCCATCGAACTCTTGTATGTGTGGAGGTATTTTTTTTTTGTTTCGGATAAATCTAAAAAGTAAATGATTTTATACGACCAATAAATAACATGCATCAAAGTTCGTTCGAGTGATGTAATGAAAGACAATTATAGTCATAAATATTTTACGATTTTTACTGAAATTGATGAAAATTAGGTATTTTTCTTTCTAAATTACGTGTAATTTTGAAAATAACGATGCACTGTAATCAAACTAATCAACTAACTTCCGTCATAAAATTCTATCAACATTCTGAATATTTTCAAACAAAATTAACGAAAAAAAAAATGAATTAGTACCCCAGTTAGTTATTAACGATAATCACCATTACAGAATTAAAAAAAAACAACAACAAAACAATTTGATACAAAAGACCGAATAACTAACATTCCATTTAATGCCATCGTTTCTAATGAATAATTGATTTATTGGCGGCAAAAAAACCGTACCGAATCGAATACATCGTACTTTATCTAAGTTTTGTTACGCTTAAATATTTTGGTCGCTGGACCGTAAACGAAGCGCCTTTTTTTTGCAATTCATTTCGAAAGAGCAATCCGTTTTTCCCATAAATAAAAGGAAACGCGCTTCGTAGAAAAGGGATCGTTCGAAACGAAAACGATGATCGGAACAAAAAAAACTAAAGCAACAAGAAAAGAAGAAAAAACACGACCGAATAACGCTGGTGAGAATCATGCGGAAAATAAAAGAGATCACTAATAAGAATGCATTACTAATAGGAACAGTATTTTTGCGGTTCGTTTCTAAAAAATATTATGCTTCATAAATTGAATTATAGGTAAGATACACACCCTGAATTATTCGGTAAAAATGGATATAAAAATGTCGAAATTATCTACCAATTAATAGGTACTATCGATGATCTTAGATAAAGCCAATAAAAAATTAGACGAAAAAATCGAAGAAACATTTTTACGAATTCCGCGATTTGAGCACGAAACATCGTAAAAGACAGGAAATTCTTCTTCAAAAGCCTTCATTATCCGAACTTATAAAATAGCAATAAATACGAAAAAAAAACCAACATCAACAATAGGCGTTAAGGAACAATAGACCATTGTTTGTTTCATACGATTTTAGTACAGACTTATGCAAATTCTCAAGCCACAAGAGGGATATTTGCTTTATTATCTGGATGTTCCGTTCCCAGCCCACATCGACATTAAACCGCCATTTTCTAAACACCCAACCAAACGGTACCACCCCAACCAGAAGACCCCTTACCTGCGTATTAACAGCAGCAGATTCCACAATCCTCAGCGAATACTCCTTCCTCTCGAACACCGGAGCGTTATCATTCACATCCTGCACCTCCACCATGACAGTCAAATTAGCAGCAAGAGGCGGCACGCCCGAATCGGTGGCGGTAATCACCAAACTCTGCCTTTGGGAAGTCTCGTAATCCAACCGCCTGGCGACGGTCAAATCACCCGATTTCGCGTCGACTTTAAACAGCCCCCCGTAGGGGTTGCCGGCCATTTTGTATTCCACCGCCCCGTTCCTGCCCGAGTCCCTGTCACTGGCGTGGGCCGAGTACAGCGGAGATCCCACCTCCGCGTTTTCGGGCACCGAAATCCTCACCAGCGGTGATTCGAACTCCGGCGCGTTGTCGTTGACGTCTTCGATTTCGATGTTCACCTGCGAGGAAAACGAGTTTGGTGGTTTAAGATGGTGAGGTTTTAGCACCAGGAGCTTACTTGGGTGTGGCCGTATACAGGAGGATCGCCGCTGGTGGCTTGGATGTTTAGAAGAACGCTGGATTTGGTCTCGTGGTCCAACGGTGAGGATGTGGTGATTATTCCAGTTGCACCATCGATGATGAAGAGACCATCTGGATCGCCGGAGTAAATGGAATAGTAAACGTTACTTCGTCCGGCTGTAATGCAGATTAATTCTCTCGTTAATCGGTAAGTAGGTACTAATTTCGCGAAGGAAAAAGAGGTTCCGGTCTCGAGATTCCTACACCCTGTAGGAGGGATTCGCATTGAACTCGAGTACGCTAATTAAATTCAATAATACCGCAATAAATACCGCGTTAGTTTGTTTTTTGTCCGGCCAATTGTATGGAGAGCCTTATTAGCATTTAGGCAAAACGGATCCAAGTCGGCTGTATGACAGGCCGGTCGAGGAAAGAAGAATTACAAAAAAAACAATGTACAACGAAACGAATAGTAGGAGGGCCAGTTGAGGTTTCACAAGGTTTAAAAATTGCGTCTTAATTATGGATAAATAAACAAACAATCTTGAAGTAAAGTAAGCTTGATTAAACCACGAGTAGATACCAATCATACAACGAAAACCTCTCAATAATATCCTAAATATTTGCTACGTTATTCGCCCCACGGACTAAAATGCACCGAAGACCGAGAGAGAATTACGAAAGGTACAAAAAAAAAATCCCCAGCGAAAAAGCGAAAGGGCCAATTATTTTCGCCGAGGGATGCATGTGTGTGTGTATAGACGACATTTCGGGAGCAAGTGAAGAGTTTCGGGCCCATTGTATTGTATTCAAGAAGACCGCGAAGACTCTCTCTCGGATTGAATGGGTTTTAATTTTCGGCGGACCGACGACGGGCGAATTCCAGCGCTTCTAAAAATGTTTCGCCTCATTTCGCGAGTCGCGCGATAGAGAATGCCTCGCGCAATTAGAACAGCGCCGGGAATTTTAACGATGAGACGCCGCCCTGGGGCAAAAAAGCGCCTAATTGCCGGTGGCTAAAAAACGGGAATTGGAGAAAAAAACGCAAGGAAAATGATGCGATTGATTGCGATGAAAGGCGTGCGTAAAATAAAGCGAGTAAAAGGGAGTTGGTGATGAAGGAATCGTCTTGAAAGATTTGCACCAGAAGGCGCAATAAAAGAAGTAGAGTCTATAGATGATTTAGGGAAAGGAAAAGTGAATTGGTGATGAAGGAATGGTCTTGAAAGATTTGCACCAGAAGATGCAATAAAAGAAGTAGAGTCTATAGAAGATATGGGGAAAGGAAAAGGGAATTGGTGAAGGAATGGTCTTTAAAGATTTGCACCAGAAGATGCTATTCAGGGATCCCAGAAGTATTTACCAGATCCTGCTAAAGACCAATACAGATTCAATACTCTAGTACTGAAAGAAAACTGAAAGAAGGATTGGTCTTTAAAGAATTGGAGTTTGCAGAAGGTCCAATAAAGAAGTAGATTCTAGAAGATATATAGCAACAATCAGGGATCCTGTTAAACATCAATACAGATACAATACTCTAGTACTACAATAGTTGTAGCTAAGAAACGAAAGCTGAGAAAACGAAGAAGAGAAACAGCACCGAATCGCCGACCTATTTGCAATCGCAGGCCGTCCTGTCGCCGAGGACGATTTACTGCTTTGACGAAAAGTCGGTTCGCGTTTCCGAAACCCCCCCGGAGCACCCGGACGGGTCGTCGGCGTTCGTCGAGGCCGCGATCGGTCGCGAGGTACTGCTCGAACGGTGCCCGTCGTTGACAGCCGCTTTCGACTTGATGTTTTCGATAAACTGGAATTTTTCAAGTAATCGAAAAATGCTCTAGGTTTAGGACTGTTCTGGTCTAGGAACTAGGTCTGGTCCTAGGTCTAGGACTGGTCTAGGACTGTCAGGCGAAGTGGTGAAACGTGGTTGTCGTTGGAAAGGTGTTAGCCTTCGTCGGAATCGTCGTAAATTCCGAGAAGCGTCCGATGAGATAGCGGAGGCTCCGTGATCTTAATACAGCGTTAATAAAAATGATTGGTAATTAGCTGCGGTGCTAGCGAGGATGCAGTGCCGGATGAAATAAATAAAACGGAGACCAAAATAAGACCAAAATAAATGGAAATTCTATTGAGACACCAACAGATAGAATCCCTTCAATCTAGTTAATAAAAAAGAGTATAAAATCATCCAGTAAATGGCGAAGTGAATAAGTATCCAACATAATCATCATAAGCGATAATGGAGACGTCGAGGGTCGAGAAGTATTTCACAGATTGTTTAAGAAGGAGCCACTTAACCGTGGTTTATGCATTATTAAACGCCACCGGCGATGTGAATGAGACGTAAGCGCCGCCGCCGCCGCCGCCGCCGCCAATGTCGCAGAGGAACCCATCAGCTTATTTAGAACTTTTCTACATTCTTATTGTTATTGCTGATTAAAACGGCGAGCGGGTAATAAAACGGCCGTAAAAGAAGACCTTCGGCGCAAGTACTCCTGAACTTCGCGCAGCAATAATCTCCGGTTTTTTTTTTAATTGCCCGGTCTTCTTGATTTCACGTCGGATTCTTATTTTGCAATAAAAAGAAGGAAGACTCAACTTGCCATTTTTCTTTTTCAATCTACTATTATTAAACCTTGATTATTGTCCCCATAAAGTTAAAACGTTGAGCTTAAAACAAAGCAACCAGAGGTGGCTCAAGTATCATAACACTTGTCTTAAAAGCATCAGAAGAAACCTCTTTAACTTAGAGAACCAAACAGAAGAACCCTCTTCATTGACCAATACAATTACTTCCTGGTAAAGATGCTGCTTATACTTCTTAAAGAACCTCTGTCAAAGTCTTGGTTCTACGTAAATAACTAACAAAATAAGTAACAAAATCAACACTTACCACCATCAGTAACAGCAGCTTTAACGGTACCAACGACGGTACCCTTCGCGACTCCCTCGCCGATCGAGTAGGCGTACCGGGCGCGCTCGAAGATGGGCGGTTTGTGCGCCGAATCGACGACGCTGATGAACACCTCGGCGTCCCTGAGGGACCTCAAACCGCCGCCGTCGGTGGCGCTGACGTTGAGCCGTCGACGGGGCCGCCCCCCGGCCGACAGCAGGCCGGGCCTCTCGACGAACAACTCGCCGGTGGACGCGTCGACGCGGAAGACGCCGGCGTCGTCGCCGGCCACGATGCGGTACCGGACGGCGCCGAACTTGCCGGAATCGGCGTCGGTCGCCGCGACGGCCACCACGGGCGTCGAGGACGACAGGGCGCCGTCGCGCAGCGAGACGTTGTATTCCGATGGGTAGAAGGCGGGGCGGTTGTCGTTGACGTCGGTGATTTGGATCTTCACCATGGCTGTGGTGCTCAAACCGCCTGCGAAGGAATCGATGTTGTTAGAGATATTGACGAAGAATGGAGTGACAGTGAAGAAATCGATGGTAAAGATATTGACGAGGAATGGAATGAAAGTGAAGGAATCGATGGTAAAGATATTGAAGAGGAATTGAATGAAAGTGAAGGAATCGATGTTGTTAGAGATATTGACGAGGAATGGAATGAAAGTGAAGGAATCGATGTTGTTAGAGATATTGACGAAGAATGGAGTGACAGTGAAGGAATCGATGGTAAAGATATTGACGAGGAATGGAATGAAAGTGAAGGAATCGATGTTGTTAGAGATATTGACGAAGAATGGAGTGACAGTGAAGGAATCGATGGTAAAAATATTGACGAGGAATGGAATGAAAGTGAAGGAATCTATGGTAAAGATATTGACGAGGAATGGAATGAAAGTGAAGGAATCGATGGTAAAGATATTGACGAGGAATTGAATGAAAGTGAAGGAATCGATGGTAAAGATATTGACGAGGAATTGAATGAAAGTGAAGGAATCGATGGTAAAGATATTGACGAGGAATTGAATGAAAGTGAAGGAATCGATGTTGTTAGAGATGTTGACGAAGAATGGAGTGACAGTGGAGGAATCTATGGTAAAGATATTGACGAGAAATGGAATGAAATAACAGCAATTTTTGGTGTAATAGAAGATTTCTCACGGTGTTTTCCGAAAGGAGACAATAGCAAATGTGGCAAAATGGCTGTATAAATCAAACATTGATCGCTTTATAACGATAACAATTCATTTATCTCGATTATAAGAACATTCTAGGCGTCGTTTCGAGCGGCTTACGAACGGAGTGATGCCTAAAATATTCAGTAAATGACAGAAGAAGTTTCATAACTTAGGATTTTTATTAACGAGCATAATATTTATTTATAACTAGATCTGGAAATGGCCAATAGTTGGAGAAAAAAAAAATAACGTAAACCGATCGTAGATTATACCTAAGAATTGATAAATGGAAACACGTTGAACTCTACACCTCGGGTTTTTTTTCCACTTGTAATAGTGAAATCGGCACAACCATTTTGATTTATGCTTATTATCGAATACCGTAGATTATCCGTATTTTTTTTTTCTTTTTGCCTTCTTCCTCGATTCGATCGTAAATATCGTTCTTTTTCGACGCTCAAATAGAAACATTAACATAAATGAATCGAAATGAACTACTCACGGCTAATTTGTTTATTAGGTTCAAACACGAAGCTTTAATAAAATTAAAAGTAAAAGGTGTAATTTACGAGCGTTCGCTACGAAGGATTATCCTAACGACGATGCCGATGATTAATTTGTCTCACCAAAACGTTTTTATGTCGATTTTATTGTTTTTTCCTGCTGTTAATATTGGAATGTTACACCTAGATCATTGCTTTGTAACTCTTAAACTCCAATGTTTGCTACTAAAGGAAATCTTCGGTGGTTTTTTACTAATAGTTTTTACGATTTTTGCAAATGCTTCTTCTAGTAATACTCAACTAATGAAGCCTATCGGAAGTGAGCAACACTTTAATAACATGTTTAAATAGCAATTGGTTCCTGGTTCATTAAAATCCAAAAAAAAAAAAATACAAACTCGACCAATTTATCCTTCAACCGCTAGAAGGTAAAATGCATTTCTAATACACAACCAGCACCAGTTAACAAACGGCCGGTTCAAAGGTATCGGTATTGGTATTGGCAAAGGTATTGGCAAAAGACCGTAACCCATCAACTGTTTATTTATGAAGTGCAAACGAAACAAAACAAAACCAAAGATCACGATGTCATTTCTCACAATCGATACGGCCACGATAACCGTGTGCATCTTCGCGTTAACCGGCGACCGCTTCATTTTTGTATACAAGGTGATCTACAATTAACTAGTTCTCCATTACCATCATGATTTATCGGTTGACAGATTGTTGTCATAACGAAAAACGAGATATATCATTCCGAAGATCGGCCATTGGCGTACGCTGGAGCGATAAATAATTCGGAAAAATGATAATTGATCGCTCGAATTGGATGTAGAGGGCGGATGTTTGTTGTATTAATGGTATCTCGTAGGTTGGCATCGGGAACGGTTAGCTCGATGATTTAATTCCGTTCGATATACCATTCGATTGCTTACTGTTATTTGGTTATAAAATTACGATACAGTATCTATGCATGGTGATATTAGATGATAAATCAGTATAAGAACCACAAGTAGTTATAGCTATACCAGTTCTAGACCACTTTCGAGAGAATGGTCTAGAATCGGTACAGCATTTCGAGGTGGTCTAGAAATGGTGTAGCATTTCTAGGGTAGTTGTTATTTCATTTCACATCATCACATCATCATCGAAACTGCTAACGATGAATTACTCACCTCTATCGGTAGCGATGACGGGAAACTCGTAGAGATTCCTCGTTTCGTAGTCCAGAGAGGAACCGATGCAAATGTCGCCGGTGTCCGAGCGAACGGTGAACTCCTTCGGTTTGCCGTTGCCCTCTCCGAGGGTGTAATTCACCATCGCGTTCACCCCGCAGTCCGGATCTGTGGCGGACACCTGTAACACGAAACCCATTATTAGAGGCTTCGAGCGAAGCGAAACGATGGAGATACTCCGACCAACACCATCGGAAATTGCTGATGAAAATAGTAACAAAATTTTTTGAGGACCAGTTGGGGTTTTAGAGTTTGTGTAGATGTTCGAACACCATCGGAAATTGCTGATGAAAATATATAGTAACGAAATTTTTTGAGAACTAATTGGGGTTTTAGAGTTTGTGTAGATGTTCGAACACCATCAGAAATTGCTGATGAAAATAGTAACGAAATTTTTTGAGGCCCAGTTGGGGTTTTAGTGTTTGTGTAGATGTTCGAACACCATCGGAAATTGCTGATGAAAATAGTAACGAAATTTTTTGAGAACTAATTGGGGTTCTGGAGTTTGTGTAGATGTTTTTTTTATTTACTCCGAGTGTACGGATTTTGCGCCAAGTTCGAGGAGGTTTCGGTGTAACCCGATACTCTGGGCTCTGCCATCTTGTCCTCCACCACGAAATAATATATCAAAGTCAATGTGAAATTTAGAAGTGTTTACTTAGACGTGACTGATTATAACTCAGGTACGAGGTGGGAGGTGCTTCATTACCGAAGAAACGCTGAAATGTGTGTATAAATTAAGGAAAAATTCCTACAACCGACCATACGAAACCAGCCAAGAAACTTAAATAGTTTCTTCAGTGATTAGGTTCTTACTATTGGAGAATTCCTTTCATTTAACTACTTCAGTTAACCTGGAGAAGATGGATGAATATTACCATTATTACATACATATTCTCAAATCGGGGATAGAACAACATACTATTGGAGAATTCCTTCCATCAAACCACTCCATAGATGGAACAACAACTGCTTCAATTTCTTCGCCCAAAACACCTAATAATAGATGTAGTTGGAACGGAATAGGACCAAGACGAGTGAAATAAATTCTGGGATACTTATAAAAATGGGTATTTAAATGATTTCCGATTTTTTTAATGGCGATACCCGATCGTTCGGGCGTTGACCCGCGAGATGGCGCTGATAGACAAAACGGCGTGGGCATGTGTATAGTCGCGTATACTTGGAAACGGTCACCAATATATCTTGGACTGCTGATGGGCCGACCTTTCTAGTCGATCAGTTTACCATTAAGGGGATCGTCTTTATCTCGAATTTACTCGTTTAACCGCCGAACGAACGATTTCTTCGCGTGATGCTACACGGGGATCCTTCGAGTGTACTCGAGACATTTATACACTCGAAATATTCCTCTTATTTTAATACGAATCGCGTTAGAAAGGGAAACGCGAAGCGGGCCGAATCACCTTAACGACCTAACGGTTCCGGAGATATTCCTGACACATTGATATTGAGATGAAGAGAGGAATGCCGGCTGAATGGCCACGAGAGAATTCACGTTTTCGATTTTATGGCCTGCCTATTCTGAATTTTTTTCTATTGTCCTTTCGCCGATATCTTCATCGCTCGAATATGTGTATCGAGGTTTTACAGTTACGCCGATTACGTTCGAATTCAAAGCGATCGAAGAGGAAAAAAAATTAATAATAGGTAATGGGATTAATTGAAAATACAGAAGCGGATTAAATTCTTATATTAGCACGCTGTTTTTATTATATATACAGCGCTGGTTGTTTCGGAGGTGATTTTATTTTAATATTTCAAGGAATTTCGTAAATGTTATTATACCTTACGAAGACAAGAATGCGTATATACTGAATAACAATCCGGCGAGATTTATTAACCGTTATTTAAAACCAACTTTCCGATATATTTAACCGTGTAATTTATCCGTAATACTTCACCCTAATAAAAACATTAAACGCTTTAGCGCATCCGATAATTCACACAAAACTTTACCTTCCTTCGGTGGCGTTAAATGACTATTATTTGGCGTTTTTTTTTACTCGCCTCGTATTACATTGTTGTTCGGAATTAACGGTAACCATTCGTGCTACATATACGAGGAGCATCAAAAGAATGACAAACGAAATTCATCACCAATACTCGAGTATCTAATTATGCAATAAATCCAGATGGCGAACAGTAAAAACATTTTTGACAATAATGACACTAATGACAGTCACAGCGTCCCTTGATTAATGACATCAATGACACGTCAACATAACAAAAGAAAAATCCCCAAAACATGTACAGAAACAAAGGGTTCATTTACACCACATTTCTTCTAGTTATCAGGATAATTTAATAAGGTATTTCGAGGTGGAAGAGGGTTCCATTTTAGTGAGTTAATAAAAGTCATATAAGATACAACGCACATTCGAAAGCAATTATAAATGTTTAAAACACAAACTAGAAACCATTGTTGAATTCAAATTCGTTAAAAAGGTTAGCCAACACTTCTAATTTGACACTTTTGTCACAACTTTTGACACTTTTGTCACTGTTTGTTGCCAACCTAATTTGACTTCTGCGTTCCCCTCACCTTCTCTAAAGTCCTACCAACCTCTAAGTCCTACCTCTAGTCCAACCTTCTCTACAGTACTACCCCCTTATTAAGTTATCCTGCCAGTTACCAGAAACTCAAAACGCGCCGGTCGAGGCGTTTTAGGCCCCATTTGCATGATGCTTTAGCCGAAGGGCGCGCTACCGTAGCGCCACCTCCTGTCGGCCGGGCGAACCCTGTAATCGGCCGAAACTTATTAAACGTTATTACCGATATATAGCGGGGAGCCCCGGCGGGCCCCTGTAAAAGGACCTCTCGCGTACTAAATCAGAATCGCCTATATATATACGCTTTTACGCCGCCTTTTCGGCCTCGATAAATTTCTCCGCTCGACGAGGGGGCTCCCCATTAAGTCCTGCCGGATCATTTTCGACGTTATTTTACCGTCGAATCGACCACCGATAAGTATGATATTGAAGTATACCTAAGTAAAGATCTCTCGTTACCATGTTTGAATACATTGTGTACTGAACAAATCGCCGGAAAGAAGAAGAAAAAAGAAGAAGAACCGGGCGTCGTTTCGGGGAAACCTTCTCACGAGATTAAGCCATTCCGGTGTCCGAGTTAGAAGTCGATAGTATAAAAAAATTCGAAATGCAAGCCGAAGGAAAATCGATAAAACTCGCGGTAGCGCAACAAATGGATCGCTGAAACAACACAATGCAATATACAAACTCCGTTTCGAATAATAATAATTTACAAGATCGCGCGGTGGTCGCGACGAATGCGATATTAGAATGGCTTTTCTGCAACGAAGTGTTGGAAAAGGAAATGAGGCCGAGATCGGCCTGAAACACCTCCCATTGTTTTCCGGCGGCCGTTTTACCATTTCGTCGATAATGGATTCGCGCCGGTGTCGCTAATATCGCGAATATTATGGCAAGAAAACTGGCCATCTGCATACAAACACCGCGTTTTCGAAGAAGAAAGGACTGGATTTGCATGTACCAAAATCTTATTCAAATGTCGAAACGGATAAATTTGCAAAACGGCACTTTATTTGCAACTACAACAATATTCTATCATCGTATGGTTGAAGGAAAAAATCAACAACAAGTCCTCGAGCTATATGTTATAATCAACGATAAATTATCCATATCGAAAAGCGCCTACTTACGAAGCAATTAAAAAATATCTACCCGTTCGACTAAAGCCGTCTTATATTCGGAGATTTTTCGTATAGATAAAGCGAAAAGGAACACCAGAAGAGGTGTCGCTGCTGATTGATAACGTCCATAAAAGAATCGGTCACATCTCAATTTCTTCTGGGGGCCTTTATTAGCGCTATCTCCGTCCGATGCGCGCGAATAGACGGGCGACACTAAAATTTCTAAGTGCCCCGGCTTGTTTAGATAAGAGATCCTGTACGCTCTTCATCATGTTCTCTCCAGTTGGAATTCCTCCGTTTCGGCTTTTTCACTCGCTGGAAAACTTCTGTTCGATATTCATTGGCGTCTCGTCGCTTCCTATGGTTCGAATTTCGAAAAATTCTCTATTCAATACTCCTCTTAGCTTTTTGTTTTCGATTTATTTAACCTTCAAATATTTTCTATGAGCGGCTAAAACCGGCTAAAGTTCCAAACCGTGTTTTGCTAGTTTAAATATTGATTTAAAATGTTTAATGAGTTAATTCAATTCAAACAGATTTAATAAATAACTTTGATTTCTTCATTAAATAAGATTGTTAATTTTAGATTCGTTGTTGATTCGTGGATTATTGCACAAAAGGTAAAATGTTTTGATTTGTTTAAATAAGAGAATTTACGTCAGCAAAAGTGATGATAATGTGTACATAATATACCCCCATTGAAGCCAACGTAAATTAGTTAAAACTTTTTTAAAAGTGCAGGAAAATTTCCTGTACATTTAATGCATTAATAGAATTTTTCAAAAATCAGTCTTTATTTTATATTAAAACAATGTTCAGTCAAAAATGCGCAATTTTTATACAAGATTAAAGCTAACTTTGATAGAATTAAAAAAAATTAACATTTCCTTTAAAAAAAATTGAAATGCAACGAAAATTACACCACGGTTATAGCAAATAAAACGTATTTTTTGGCACAAAAACAGACCATAAAGATCAGAAACAGATCATAAACTACCTAAACTAATCCTAATAAAATCATCAATGGCACCAATAAGCTCAATGATTACGACACCCCATAGATATTATACGAAATCAACCGCAGAAGAAAACTCAAATTCTAATCCCTCTGGACATTTCAATCGAATTCGAACATTCCCCGATCAAATACTGTTGAATCTCCTCCAAAGTCTTCCCTTTGGTCTCCGGTATGTACTTGACAACGAAAACGAGACCGATCACACAACAAACGGAGAAGAACAAAAACGGCACCGACATCGTATGAAACTCGTCCATGGTGATTTGAAACAACTTCGACACAGCCGTACCAACCAGCACCGAAAAAGTATCAGCCACAGCCAAAGCCTTGGCCTTGACGTTGGTGGGAAACAGCTCGCTCAACACCAACACCGGCCCGAAGGCCAATCCGATGCTGAACAAAATGTTGTACGAAGCCAACGCCGTGATGGGCAACCAGTCCAGATTCTCCACGATGCCGACGTGGAAATCCTTGAAATAGAAGAACGCGCCGAGCAGGAACACCGACAGCGAACAACCGGCCGTCGAGGTGATCATCAGCAACCTTTTGCCGAACCTGTCGACGATGAAGAACGTGCTGATCACCACCGCCACCAATTCCACGCTGCAGTATATGATCACCGACAACGTGGGATCGATGCTGCTGCCGCTTTCTTTGAAGATGGCCTCCGTGTAGAACAAGCACGGGTTCTTCCCGCTGAATTTGTTGGTCAAACAGAGGACGAGGAATATGCAGGAGGCCTTCCTGGTGGCGGGCACGCTGAACAAGTCCGAGAAACCGGTTTTTTCGGACCGCTCCTGCCTGGTGACGGCTTTGAAGAGGCCCTCCATTTCGTCGTCGACGGCGGCTTTGCCTCGCAGGATTTCCAACGATTCCCTCGCTGCTACCGGGTTGTGTTTCTTGATGTAATAGTAAGGAGATTCCGGCATGAAGGCGAACGCCGCGAAATGGACCAGCGGTATGATCGAGCACACGATGCTGGACATGAATATGTCCATTTGCGATCCGATGATGTTGATGAACAGGGTTCCGATAATCGCGAATATGGCTATGGTGGATGATAGAAATCCCCTTATCTTCGGATCGGATATTTCGCCGATGTACATCGGCAGGGCGGTGTAAGAACCGCCTTCGGTGGCTCCGATTATGAATCTGTAGAGTGTAATTTCCCAAATCGACGAGGAAAAGGCGATCAGAACGAAGCAAACGGATACTATCGGCGCCATCAGCAAGGCAGTCGATTTCCTTCCGATTTTATCGGCCAGGAACATGGCGGAGAAGGCTCCGAATGGGGCTCCTACCAAAGGGGCCACCGCGCACCAGGATCCTTGTTCGCTGGTGGTGGGTATGAGCGAGGAATTCGACATTAGTTTCGGTAAATAGGGAGAGGTCCAGCCCAGATTTATGCCAGAGCTCATTATCGAACATGCTCCTGGAATAAACCGATTAAGCGATTAAGAAGTTGATTCATAGATGTCGAATTCGACTATGAAATGGTCAGTAATTGTGGTATTATTTGTACTTTATCAATCTTATAAAACTTTGTATAGTTAGATGATTTATTCGAAAAAACATTCATCCGGTAAATTCGTATTTTCTACGGTTGTTAATTTTATGGACAAATTTTGTATACATTTCCTCATTCCATTCGTACATGTTTGACTATATTATTCATTTCGAGAGTTTTTTTTTTGTACAAAGTGATAATATTTTTACGATATTATTCAAAGGATTTATGCTATTAACGAAATTATTTAAATGCGACTGGCGTACTCACCGGTTATCGTGGCTAAATATTGAAATAAATCCCCTTTATTGAAATAAATTTTCTTCTTCAAATCGAGCAACATTTTCGATTCACTATTAGACAAGAATTATGTTATCTTTTCGACGAAGATCATTTTATATACCGTTATTGATGTACACAAAAATGGTGTTAATATTTATCCTGTCACTCTCGCAACATTTGGAAAATGCTTAAAAGATATAGTTTAAAATAGTATTTTATTTACACGAATTTATTATCTAAAATGATATGGTAAATGTGTTTTTCCCAACTGTATTGTTTCGGAGTTATTATACAAGGAGAAGTCTCTGTAATAGTATAGTAGAAAGAACATAGCTACATTTACCGTACGATTGCTAGGTATAATTAGTTTCGATATACTAGGTTTTTGTTCCTTCATATGAATTTTCATTAACTCATCAAGCAACTACCAATGCTTCGTTATCTTCTATATCGAACTCCACAGTTTTTGTTAATTAATAAACTTTTAATTACAATTAAAAAAAAGTACATGTTAATCTAAAGCAGCTTTTATTCGCTCGGAATACCAATAAACCGAAATATTATTGCTTTATTGGAAACACCAATCATTTCCAATGCACATCATATAAGCGAGCACCGGTGCAGAAAAACCTTCCGATTCATTTTCCACTTAATTATTGAGTAATGGCGATTACGTGCACTATTCGGTAATAAATCAGGCAACAGACCACACTGGCAAAACGGCTTCTAATAACGAGTACCGCCGTAGAAAAATAAAAAAAAAACTTTGTCGCAATACCGGACGTGCTAGTACCAGTACTTAGCTTCGCAAGAAATTATGTTATTAGTTAAAATATCAGCGGAAGACGGAGAGATGTTAACGCGCGAAAATTTTCCGAAACTTTTCCGCCGCGAAAGTTCCGCTGCGAAATCGCCGCCGCTGCGGAATCGCCGCCGCTGCGAAATCGCCGCCGCTGCGGAATCGCCGCCGCTGCGGAATCGCCGCCGCTGCGGCAGCGAAAGTTTCGCGTCGGTCTGTGGGATCCTTTAAGCGTCGATAAGAGCGGAATTCGCGATCGCCAAGATAAGTTCCTCTCGCAGGAGGAACGGTAGCCGGGCGAAAGAGTTCCTCTTCCCCTTCGCTTCTGTATAATATCCTTTGGATCGCGATTTTGTGAGAACGGCCTCTTCCTTCTACCGTGTTCGTCGCCACTTTGCATTTCAAATTTACGCCGACTTCGTGCGAGATCGAACGGAGATATTTTACTGTGGATGTATGTATTATTCGTGTTACCCGTACATGAGGTGAACCGTTTTTTTTTTTTTTAATTTATCTCGAGGTAGTCCGAGCATCTGGTGTGCGATGGAATGGAGGAAAAATGAGGAAAAGCTAAAGAAACTAGTTAAATGTTGGTATATAGACATTATTGGTAAAAATAATCCGTTAGTCAGTTAGTAACACTTACTGTAAAAGTACTAGTTATTTATTTTTTTACTTAGTCATATTCATTTTTTATTGCATCATACTGTGTTATAGATTAAATTAAAATAGTATTGTCGATGTAAATACAAGCGAACGTATTCGCTCATGTGACTATCTGTGTATCTAAAATAAGCAAAAAATAAAGGATTAATAAGTACAAGTGGTTTTTACAAAACAGTAGATATCTTCCATAAATTAAGCAATTAAAAAATGTTTCGCATAACAACGAGGCATTATCGTAACGTCGATTAACTCGACTCGTTTCGTAAATGAGGCATGAGGTAAATTATTCGCTATTTTTTTTTTTCGAAAATCTTGCGATCACAATGCTTACGTTAAGTAATATAGAAATTAACGTGTCCATTTTCAGTGGAGACTTAATACATCTTCAAACGCATTCCTTGTAACAATTAGATCTACCGCATGTGAAAATCGACATACTCGCCATTTTTTCTTTCTGCTTTTTTTTTATCTTTAAGATGCTTGTTGACAGTATGTTGAACAAGTAATGCGAAAAAACTCGGCATCTTGATCAATAGGCGTGTATATTAAAACATACAAAGGGATATAACATCACAAATCAGCCAGAAATGATGTTAAAAAGAAATAGATTTCTTGGAAACTTCATTAAAAAATGGTGAATCTATTAACGAAAATATAAGATCAGGCTTTTTGGAAATAATACAGTAAAGTTGCAAGAAACTTTCGTTATCGATACGCCTATGGGATAGTCTATTAGAAACAACTTTATGTATGACCTTAATTGAGAACCAGTCATATAGAAAATTATCAGTTCTTGCGAGTTTTTTGCAGAGGAATTTATAAATCAAGCTCCCAGTCTCAACTTCCAATACCACAGAACTATAGAGAAAAAAAAATATATAACATGTAGAAACGCTGCTACAAATTAGGAACGATGTTATTGTTTAATAAAAATTATCAACCAATTGCATTTAAAAATGTTTATAACCAGTTAGTAGTTACCAAGAGATGTTAAATCGAAATATAATCGCCGACATTAACTAATCAGTTGGTATTTCAACGGAAACAACGCCTATAAAATCCCTTTTCCCTTGTCCCGCCTCTCCCTTAACCCGAAACGATGGTGGTATGCGTGCACCACATAAAATTATGTTGGTACGCCGTTATAAATAAAGGTGATACACAAATATTTGCAAAATAAAAGAGCTAATTCATATATGAAATGTACATTGACTATAATTTACAGGCGGGTCGAGAAATATAGGCGAAACGGTATACGCGATGAAAATGTATACCTGCAAGTTAATTAGATAAAAGTTTTATTATGTTTGTGGTGTATAAATGCAATTATACAACGAGATTGTGGTTTTTTTAAAAGGGAAATTAAAGGGATCTTTAACCTCTTTTCCATGAGCAATTTATGATTTTTCTAAACTATTAAAAGCAATACAAAAGTGTTCTTCATTAACCAATTCCACATCTATACCCAACTTTATAGGAATCATCAAAGCTTTTCTACTCATCTAAACTTGAAAGCTTCCAAGTTGCAATCGAAAACCCCTACGACTATACAATCGAATCGGTCAAAGCAGCACCGCTTTCGATTATGTACCGAGAGCATCATAATTTCTTATTGATATGCATGTAACAGTGGCGTAGTCGCTTTCTGATACCCATAAATTAAACTCGCCAATGTAATTAATCTAATCTGGTTTCAAACTGGCCGTTTTTTATACTTGCATGGTTAGGCGACTTTTGTATTAATTATACTCTATACTTCTTACTCGGTTAAAGCTCAGTAAAAATATTCTTTCGGTAAACGAGTGACTAAAGGTTGTTTCAATTATCGTTGACCTCTGGTTGGGAAAAAGTCCCATCAAAAGGTAGAGAATTTACGGATTGACGTTACAATGAATGGGTGTTACTAAATCTTCTAATGTACATTTCGGAATTGCATTCCGCGATTGATAATCGGATGAAATGAAATGCGAAACTTGTAGTTTTGTACGTGGGTGGTATTTGGGGATTTAATTAATACGGCGGAATATCGAGAATAAAATCGCCAGTAGTGCAGGAAATTTAGTTTAATAAAAATGTCCTTCTCATTTTCTCTAAGCGAGCAACCAAACAAATAAATAACTGGTATAAATGCAAGTCGACATTTCGCGGTGAATTAAATGAAAGCCAATTTTTTTTTTGTTGAAATGGAGACAATTAATAAGGAACTAGCGACCGGTCTGTGGGATCTTTATTTCGCCTTTTTCCACCGTCTTTATCCGCGGCTTATTCGCGTACATTCCACAATAGCAGATTTACGATTTCATATTCATAATGAGACTAGATACGACGGAAATCTGGCGAATATAATTTTGATTCGGTCGCGGATTTATCGTCTTGGATATCCTTTTCGCATTTACCACTGGCGTTTTAGGTGAAATATGATAAACAACTTCGAAGGAATGTTCTAACGGTACAAGCGGCGATAATAAAATTGTTTTATGAAAGTTTGTTCGGTTGAGGGAAGAGAAGAAGTGTTATAGAAGAAGAATATATAAGAAGAGGTCGTGGGTGTTCGAAGAAATGCTATACAACTTGTATAACATTTTGGTTAACATTTGACCCTTTAAATATGCCCTTTTTATGTACAAATTTTCGAATTTTGGGACTCCCAATGACCTAATCGTTGTTTTGTATTTATTTGTTGGATTTATAGCATTCCGCTCATTGTTTTTTTTTCAATGCGATAAGACCGAAAATTGTCACCTCTACCAAAATTGATCGAGTCCAACGCGGATCGAGATAACCGATCTCCCGGTATAATGGATGATGTCCGAAATTTTGTCCACGCGGCTTATCAACCAATTGATTTTCATCCATCATTTTCGAAGGGTTCGGAAATTTCGTTATAAACGAATATAAAAGAAGCAACCGTCGATGACTGATTCACGGATTTACCCTCTATATTTGCCTAAAACCTAAAACCTAAACGATTTTATCTATAATGGTTTTAAGCTTCTACTACTGGATAAATAGCTTCCGGGCGGTAAAACTAGGTGCTAGATTTGAGCTACTAATTAATGATTAATTTCGTATTGATTGGAAGCCATCTTAATTACCTCTTAATCGCTGATTAAATCGAACAGTGCGCTGCAAAAAAAATTCATAAACGCTTCGAACAATTTTAACGTCTCATTAATTCAACGCTCCTAATAATTAATTCTCGTAATACCTCGTTAGAAATTTTAATAAGCAATTTTTTCGATGTCGCATTTGCGCTATTTCACAAGTTTTGCCCGTAAGTGGGTACTTAAAAAGTCGAAATCTACCATCCCGCATCAGACGAATGTCGCATTAGATGAAATTAAAGTCGAACAGAGATTATTTTTCACGATCGAATCGGATTTTTCACGCGCGAGAAACCGGCGTAGGCGCTGCTGGGAAGGAACGAATTCGAGCGAGGCCCGTTTCGGCTGACTCATACTTCATAACTAGAATTTTTTTTAGATTTTCGAATAAAAACCCGAGATGAAAGTGAATCGCCGCGTTAATGTTAATCGAAATATTCGCCAATTCACCTCAAAATGAGCGCTGGGATGCATTCCATTTGCATCAATTGT